CTAGCAGCTATTCGTATGGTTCCTGTTCGTTTATTTGAAGTGCTACCTTATTCTCTTGTATGCCGTTCGGGAGTTTGGAGCATTCACTTATTGGCGGTTCGTGAGTTTCGGTGATTATTCAGTAGCTGTGCCTGTCTCTGAAAAGGGGATTATCGTCTAAGCGTTTTTTTCCCCTTTTGTGCAAAACGGTCCGTTACAATTGGTGGCAGCAGTGGGATCGTTCCCACAGACTACAGGACAGCTACAGGCAACACCATTCCGTGGATTTACAATTTGAGGGCAACGCATGTCTGAGTACAGCGACCCTGACAGCACCAGGATGGAACCAGCAGTGGAGTACAGATACTCTATGAGAGAGTATGACCGTATGATGTGGTTGCGGCTGAACTTCTTTGGACCCAATCCAGCTGAGAAACACGTGCAGTCCATGAGGAACCTAGTGTTCATGAATCTGCAACACTGGGCAGAAAGAGAAGGTCAGCTGGCACGTTGGGAAGAACTCCAGCGACAGGTACTGCAGGGAATTGGGAGCCCAGTCTCCATTCCCCAGCGGCAGAGTGAATTGCAGGGAATTGGGAGCCCGAGCTCCATTCCCCAGCGGGAGATATTGCAGGGAATTGGGAGCCCAGTCTCCATTCCCCAGCGGGAGAGGGAATTGCAGGGAATTGGGAGCCCAGTCCCCATTCCCCAGCGGGAGATATTGCAGGGAATTGGGAGCCCAGTCTCCATTCCCCAGCGGGAGAGTGAATTGCAGGGAATTGGGAGCCCAGTCTCCATTCCCCAGCGGGAGATATTGCAGGGAATTGGGAGCCTGAGCTCCATTCCCCAGCGGCAGGCTGAGTTACAGGGGACAGAGATAGTTGCTCCTGTCCCCCAGCAGCAGAATGAATTGCAGGGAATTGGGAGCCCAGTCTCCATTCCCCAGCGGGAGATATTGCAGGGAATTGGGAGCCCAGTCTCCATTCGCCAGCGGGAGAAATTGCAGGGAATTGGGAGCCCGAGCTCCATTCCCCAGCGGGAGATATTGCAGGGAATTGGGAGCCCGAGCTCCATTCCTCAGCAGGAGATATTGCAGGGAATTGGGAGCCCAGTCTCCATTCCCCAGCGGCAGGCTGAGTTACAGGGGACAGAGATAGTTGCCCCTGTCCCCCAGCAGCAGAATGAATTGCAGGGAATTGGGAGCCCAGTCTCCATTCCCCAGCGGCAGTGTGATATGCAGGGAATAGGGAGCCCAGTCTCCATTCCCCAGCGGCAGAGTGTCCTACCGGGAATAGAGAGCCCAGTCTCCTTTCCCCAGCAGCAGGACACTGTATTGGGAGCGGAGACAGTCGGTCTCCCTCCACAGAGGATGAAAGTAGGTATGGGAGAGGAGCTTGCTACCACCTCTCCCCAGCGGCAGATCCTTAATGGACAGGGAATAGAGAGCTCAGTCTCCTTTCCCCAGCGGCAGAGTGTTATATTGGGAGAGGAGCCTGTTACCCCCTCTCCCCAGCGACAGGGCTGTCTAGCCAAAGGGGAGACAGTCGGTCTCCCCCTCCAGCAGCAGAGATGGGTAACCAAAGGGGAGATGGTCGGTCTCCAGCAGCAGGACTGTGCATCTAAAGGGGAGACAGTCAGTCTCCAGCAGCAGCAGCAGAGCGGTGTATTTAAAGGGGAGACAGTCAGTCTCCAGCAGCAGCAGCAGAGCGGTGTATTTAAAGGGGAGACAGTCGGTCTCCCCCTCCAACAACCAGGCTTCCACCAGGCTACCCTCCCAGTAGCGCTGGCAACAGGGCAGAGTGCCGCTGGTCTCTGCCCACGCTGCAACCCACCAAGTCAGCGTACCCGTACCCAGCACAGCCGTGGTGAGGCACCTGGACATGGACAAGCTTCTTCTCTACCCAGGTGTAGTAACCATTTATTGTGGGTGGGCTGTGCTGTTGATTATTTGTTGTGGGTGGGCTGCTGGACTAACAAGGGCACTGACCGGCAGGAGGTCAGATACCCTGTTAGTTTGTTTGGAAAAGGGGAGAGATGTGACGAGACCAATCTCGCCACATTGCATTGGAGAAGCCTGGTTGCTCGCCTGCTGCCTTTGGACTATGGCCCCCTTTTGAAAGACTTTATTTTTCCATGCAGAAAAGCCATATTCATGCTTTTCTGCCGGTTGTTCGGTAGTTTCAATCTACCGAACAACCGTACGAATGACTGGACCACCTGGGAGCTGGAGTGTGCCGGCAATTAACCTTCCTGAAGCTGCGGTTAACCGCAGCTTAATTGATGAACGCTAGGTGGCCGCCGTTCGTATCCCGAACACGAGGTCGCGGCCATTTTAAACCATACGAATGAACAGCGGTGTTCGCCTCTATTTTCATGGAACTAAAATCGGACACAGTTTTGCACGAACACCGCTGAAGCCGCCGACCTCCCTTCTTGTTCGGTGAAAGCACACGAATGACCCGGTGTTCGGTATTTTTGTGTGAATGTCTTATACCTCAGATAGGAATCCCATGGAGCCCATTCGTATGAAACTGACTGTAAGGACTTTGGCTCCATGGCGATTAAACTGCATTCGTGTGGTCTGAGTGCCATTCACCTAATAATGTGCACTCAGACCTGAGCTATCTGGGGATATGTTACATGTCTGTGGTTTATGTAGTAAATGTTACTTTGTGCATTTTAAAGTGTTATGCTGGTTTTGTGTTCCCACGTGTGTAATGGAGTTTTGCCTTTGTCTTGGGAGATAATTGAGTTACTTCCCAATTATCTCCCAGGGCAGAGGGGAGGAAGCCAGGATGCATTGTGGGAATATACTGTGACTGTGTGTCCTTTTTGTATACTTGTCTGTCCCTTGTCACAGTCTCCCATTTGGTCCCCTAGGGGGGTGTCCACCAGGTGGGAGACCTGTATAAAAGCTGGGCAGGTAGCCCTCATTAAACAGACCACTGCTTGACCCTCAACACGGAGCCTTGTCTCGTCTTTGGGGGGATTTACAGTATGCTGCTAAGGACTGATTGCCAGGAGTGTAAGCCGCTTGGAAGCTTTTCCTGTTCGCCTGCTAGCAGCTATTCGTATGGTTCCTGTTCGTTTATTTGAAGTGTTACCTTATTCCCTTGTATGCCGTTCGGGAGTTTGGAGCATTCACTTATTGGCGGTTCGTGAGTTTTGGTGATTATTCAGTAGCTGTGCCTGTCTCTGAAAAGGGGATTATCGTCTAAGCGGTTTTTTCCCCTTTTGTGCAAAACGGTCCGTTACACCCTATGTTTTGGGTCTGCTTTTAATTAAGTGTAGTAAAGGTATTTAAACATTTATGTGTGAATTTTCTTAATGCTCTTTTCTGAAAATATTGTATTGTATTCTAGTTTTATAACAAAATAGGACAATTTCCTTCCCATTACACAGCAGTCCCAACGTTCGCAAGCTAGCTCGTAGATTAATAAGGTAAAAATCAAACTTGAAACTACATATCTAGGCTTACAATTAAACTTGTACAAGTAAAACTGTGCAACAATCTAACCGGTGATGTGGTAATATTACCCAAATCTAATCTGGATTCTCCCTCTCCCATGATAAAATCTTCAGTAACACTACCCGTTAGTCCCTCCTGGTCAGTTTGGTAGGGGAGCTTTGTAGACCCGTTTTACCTCTAGTTGCACTAGATGGAGCTCCAGCGCCAACAATCCTAGTTGCAGTACCCCTCGCTTGCCTACAGGGGCTCCCATGGCCCTGAAGAACAGTCCTAGCTGCAGTACCCCTCACTTGCCTATGGGTGCTCCCTTTGGTGTGCGGCTGTGATTTCTGCAGCTGAAACCCCTCAGAACTGATGGCCTCCTGGACAGCCAGATATCATTTCCTACACTGGAATAGGACAGGTAAGAACTTCAGGTGCCCTGGGCATAGGCTGCATGGGGGAGCTTTGGATTGAGAAGGGGCAGTCTTGTGGGTGCAGGCCCCACGGACTCCTCTGCTGCTAGTAGGCCTGCCTGTAGCATTATAATTGGTCCCTGCTGCTCAAAATGTGGCTGCCTCCTTGGTAGGCCCCAAATTCGCTGTAGGCCCTAACTGGGCCATGGTGACCTCTGGAAGCCCTGAGTGGTCTGACAATTTTCCAGCCTTCTGCTGCTGGCTCCTATAGCTTTCAGCCGTGCCCGAGCATAGGCTTCTGGGTTTATGTGGCGAGAGGGTCATCTGTTCCTCCTAAGCCACAATCGACCTAAATTTCCTTTCTGCTCTTCCAGAGATCTCAGCTGGGCCTGCACCCACGCTAATCCTTTATTCAGGGCAGCTGCCCTCACACCAGCCAAGAAGCAATCCAGGTCCTCAGCCATGAGTAGAACCTTTTAGAGGACATAAAAAAGGAAAAGAAACAAAAGAGGGGGACAAAGAAAGAGAGGAGAAAAACGAAAAACCAAAAGGAGACATTCAAATGTCTAAAGCTAAAATGGCCACTGAACCCTCCTAACTGACCACTACCTATGGCCACTGACTGTTCCCCTTACATACAGACTAACATCTAAACAGCCTAGCCCTACTCAGTCCCCTGTCAAGACTCACTCTGGCCTAGTCTGACCCTGTGAGCTACATTAAACTTGTACAAATAACACTTCAACTCAACTGTACAACTCCTTTTGGCTCTTCCTATCTCCCCTTGTAAGTCTAGTCAGGCCAAGCTGTATAGGTTTCTCCTACAAGGGTAAAAATGCTGTTTCAGTAGAGGTAGAAGGCTTAGGATCAGCATAAGAAAACTTAGGAACAAGGCGGACAAATGTTCTCCTAGCCTTTTCCTTTCTCTGGACGAATATGTATCTTGATATCAATGTGAGTCAAATAGACTACCAGGTTGTCAAAATCTGAGGGCTGGTCTCCCAGAACGGCATCCGCAGCTCTAGCTGTTTCGCTTGGCGCTGGTTGGTGGTCAGGATTTCCTCACTCCGGAAGGGTTGAATTTCGTCGAGGTCCTTTGTCCAGAGGAGCGCCACCCTCCACTCTGTCACTCTTTCCTCTGGGATAGGGTACTCCATACTGCGCAGCACATCTTGTAGTCGCTGCTGGAGTTTGGGGTCGAAGCCGGATACTGCATGGCAGTACTTGCCTTCCATACTTCTGAAGTAGTGCTGGTTTTCCCAAGGCTAGGAAGCCATCCCACCGCTGCCCTGTACCCCGACTGCTTACCTCCGCCAAAGGACCGCTTCCTAGCTTTAACAGGGGACAAACCTTAGCACTCTTGCCCTTAGTCGACGTGGTCCCAATGCTCGGAAACTGGATAGAGGCTGGGGGGGAGTGTATGAGACTTATGGAGAGGCTGAGTGTGAGGGAATGAGATACATGAAGGGGTTGGGGGGAGGGTATGAGACTCATGGAGAGGCTGAGTGTGAGGGAATGAGATACATGAAGGGGCTCGGGGCTGGGGTTGGGATGTAATTTTAGCACCAGGGCCCAGTGGTTTCTTGTTAGGCCTCTGAGTGGTACAACGCCCACTCTATATACCATGTCAGTACGACTACGAACAGCTATGTGCTAACTTGTTCATTAGCAGGAATATACGGTCAAGATTACAGTATGATCCAGCACGTAGAATTGTGTAACACAGAGGACTGATAGGTAACGTATACCGGACCTTAGAATGGTCGGACTAACGTACTAAAGAATAGTCAGGAATAGCCGAGGTCAAGGGACACAGAAAGAGACACAACAATAAGGAAAAGCCAGGGGTCAGGGATGCCAGAAAACAGGGAAGTCAAGATTAATGCCAAAGTCAAAATACCAGAATAACCAGAATCAATAACACACTCTCAGACAACCACAAGGGAAACCATGACAGGGCACTGAGCAGGATGAGAACACGGCCTAAATACCCCTCCTCTGGATCTGATAGGCTGTTATTGGCCTTTGACCCCAAAGGCAATTACCAGGTTCCCATTTGCATAATTGCTGCACAGCACAAACCCTGCTGTGGATTTGATTGCTGCTCGGCACAACTTTTCCTGTCAGGACATGACTGCTGACCCAACCATTCCCCACCAACAACCCATTGCCCCCCAATGATACACAGGACACCTCGTTCTTGTGGATAAGGGAAACGGCCACAGCTTTATTTAAATTAACAGTTTAACTCAGTCCAAATCTGCCAGCTGTTGGGTGTTTGCCCAACAGGCAGTTCTCACACGCATTTTGTACCATGAGCCTCAACAGCCAGCTCCTCGTCATCAGCTCCGTGCCGGCTGTCGTCTCCCCAATGTTCCTTTCTTCCTCTGCGCTGTCCAGGGAAACCGCCAAGCTGTGACAACACAAAACAACAACACGAGACACAAGCCACAACATCATAAACAGGCAGGTAGGGTGGGAAAACAGTCAGGAGCCCTCAACTGATCCTGCCAACTGGTAAGTCCCCTCCCCCTCCATTTCTTTAAGGAACCCCCAACCTTAGCAACATTGTATCTTCCTTGACCCTGCCCACCATCTTGGGCAGCAGTCATGTTCCCCCTTCCTTATTCTTCCAGGGGAAATCTTGACTGCTGACCCAACCAGTCCCCACCAACAACCACAGCTTTATTTAAATTAACTGTTTAACTCAAATCAGGCAGTTCTCACACGCATTTTGTACCATGAGCCTCGACAGCCAGCTCCTCGCCATCAGCTCCGTGACGGCTGTCGTCTCCCCAATGTTCCTTTCTTCCTCTGCGCTGACCAGGGAAACCGCCACCGCAATGCCCCTCCTTGCGCACTACACTGCGCGGGCATTGCGCCCCCCCTGCCGACAGCGCCTCCTCAATTCCAGCTTGCAGGCCCATGTTAAAGATGTCAAACCCAATGGGGGACAGGTGCACCCCATCACGTCTCATCAGTGCGTCACTGTCCCCCTCCAACTCCACATGTCTTACTACTATACCACCCAGGTGGCGCACGAACCGGGACATGGTCATATTGACCTTCCGCCTATAGCGCTCCGGGGCCTTACCATTGCCCTCGGTTTGCCAAACCGGGCGAGGCACGATCTCGGACCAGACGAGGGTCAGATCCCCAAACAACGCAACACAGCAGGCCACATCATGCCGCATTGCGTGCACCAGGTCCAAAGACCGTCGCCTGCCGACATCGTTCCCGCCCACGTGAATCACCAGGGTCACCGGCCCCGACACGTAGCGCCAGAGCTGAATCAGCTCCGTATATAACCCGTCCCAGGTGAGCCCCCGAAAACCTCTCCAACGTACCCTTGCTATTTCATATGGGAAACCAAGGTTCCGGCCAAAGGGTCTACACTCAGCCCGCCTAGCTGCCCAATACACGAAGGAGTGTCCGATAATCCAAATAAAACGCGGGGAAGAACCTACAACGAAACAACAAAACCATAACAACGCTGCGCCGCTGGCCTAAAGCAAGTGAGGGCGCACATGAAGCTGAAACCGCCCCGACTGCTATCGCCCCAACTGCTTGAGGGCCTCTGATGGAAGACCCAGCATACTCGCCTGAGTCGCCGCTCCAATCCTGAAGGAATGCGTAGTATACCGTCCGGGGGACAGTCCCATACTTACCACCCCAGCCCAAAGAACTCCGGCGAATTGAAATCGGCTGAGGGATGACCCATCGCTATGCCTGAACAGCGACCCTGCTCTTAACCCACGTACCTCCAAAAACTCCCGCAGCAACCGAACCGGGCAGACCTCCCGATCAATAGCCTTAATCCGAACCGAAGCGCCAACCCCTGATTGGTACATCTTTGACCTCCGGATGACCAACGTAACGTCCCTTGTCGAAACCTGGACATCCGCCATCTGTATGGCTGGCGCCCGCGTACTTGGGGCCACCAACTCGCCTACGCGTAAGGCAGCAAAGAAACACATTGCAAAAGCGGCCCTAAACAGGAGCACTTCTTAGTGCAACGCACATATCTGCGGAAGCTGCTCCAAGAGGTTACACAGTATCTCATAGTAAATCGGACGCCGGGCGTCTGGCCTGAGGTCTCGCTCCACCCCTTCATGATCCGCGTGATGCAGAATGCCTTGGTAGCATCCTGCCACCCACACCACTGAAACAGAAATGATAAGGCTGATAACGCTCTATCAGACGCCGCTGCCGACTTACCCTCCTCGCTGAGCGACTCCAACAACGCAAGCATGGCTGACAACCTACCTTCCTCCGAACACACTTCCCTAGCATTGCAGACCTCCGTCCATCTCCGCCACACCGCAGCGTACGACCTCCACGTGGACTCCGCCAACGACCCCCTCACCAACCTGATCAAATTGTAGAAACCAGGTCCCAAATACCCGCCAGGCACGAGGTTCAAATCCGATCTGCCTCTGGAGCTGCCTCGAGAAAGAGTTGGCTATCACATTCCGCTCCCCAGGCACATGGCGCGCAACAAGCCACAAATTCCTCTCCAAACTAAGCAAGACTAAGCGCCGTAGCAGCGTCAAAACCGGGGGGGATGAGGGCGTGGACCGGTTGATCACATGGGCAACACTCATGTTGTCCGTGTGCACCACCACCTTCCGGTTAGCGAACTCCAAACCCCAAAGTTCCACCGACACTATGATGGGAAATAGTTCCAGGAATGCTAGGTTACCCCCCAATTTAGTCTCCAGCCAGTGGCGGGGCCAGGCTTCCGCGCACCAACGGCCTTGAAAATAGGCTCCAAATCCTACTGCTCCGGACGCGTCGGTGTACAACTCCAAATCCGTGTTGGACACTGCCGGGCACAGCCAGCAAGATTGCCCATTGTACCTACCCAAAAATGAGCTCCAGACTTGCAGATCCTCTCGATGTCTGCGGGTGATCCGAATGAAGTGAAACGGCTGCTTGACTCCGATCGTCGCTAAGGACAGGCGCCGACAAAAAGCCCTCCCCATTGGTAGCACCCGACAGGCAAAGTTCTGATGCCCTAGCAAGGCCTGTAACTGCCGGAGCTGCACCTTTTTTGCTCCTTTTACTGAATCTACCAGCCACAACAGGTGAGTCAGTTTCTCATCTGGCAACCGGAATACCATATTCCGCGAGTCCACTTCAATACCCAGGTAGGACAAGACTCCCAAAGGGGCCTACCGTCTTTTCCTCCGCTATTGGCACACCAAAATCGGATGCGACAGCTCTAGAGGAATCCAAGAGCCCCACGCAGTCATCCGACTAGCACAGCCTTAAGTAAGCCCAGAACCTCCTGCCCCATGAACCCACTATCTAGTCCCTCCTGTCCCCTAGACCCACTACCTACCCTGGCCCCATCCCCAGCTAGCGCCTCCCAAGCGCTGATGCAACACTCACCGCTGGCCGGCTGAGGATGATGGGCATCACTTGCTTCCGAACTGCAACTGGGCCCTGTGGACAGTGGGGACCCACGGCCAGCCTCATGGCCCGACCACGCTCTGTTCGCTGCAGTGCTGACACTGATGTGGTCCCTGCTCCTCCTTCCGGCTGCCCGTCTGGGCGTTCTTCTTGTGGTTCCCAGCTCGCTTCCTGCCGGAACCATGCTGGAACGCAAAGCCTGTGACGGCCGCACTCTCCTGTGCATCGCCGTCACGTCTGCGCCTTGCGTGGCGAGGTCGCTTCCGGGTGCACACCCGTCACGCGGCGCGCATGATGACGCGGCTTCCGGTTGGGCCGGAAGAGAAGCGCGCGGACTGGGCGATCTCCTGGCCCTCCTTCCGCCATGACAGCCGACGCCATCTTGGGCCTGGATGCCCCTGACCTCCTCAGCCCGGGTCCTCTGCCTCCCGCTCACCGCCAACCGCCCTGAGTGCACAGCCGAGCTGCCACTTCGCCCTCTCTCCTGGCGCCGAACCGGACTGGGTGACAGATGCGACGGAGGCCTTGATCTCCTGGCCCTCCGCCCGTCTCGAGCAGCAGGCTGACCGGACACTTCCTCCTGTGGGACACTCCTCACACCCGATACCAGCTCCTCCGGGGCCCCTTGTCCGTGGGTCTCCAGATAGGCTTGCAGAAGCCTCTGCAATTCCTCTCCATTGGCAGCCATGGCAGCAAGGTCAGAATCAATTCGCTGTTTAGGTCATAAGCCCAAAAGTTATATATATATTTTTTTAATGTTTGTTTTCTGAATTACAGGGACAGTCAGCTAAGAAACAGTCAGGAGCCCTCAACTGATCCTGCCAACTGGTAAGTCCCCTCCCCCTCCATTTCTTTAAGAAACCCCCAACCGTAGCAACATTGTATCTTCCTTGACCCTGCCCACCATCTTGGGCAGAAGTCCATTCCTTATTCTTCCAGGGGGAATCTGTAATGTTGCTCGGCACAAATTTTCCTGTCAGAACAGTAGATGTCATTAATCACATTTTTATATGCGATTGAATACGTGACATATACAACAAACAAGATGTCATCAATTCATTAAGAGATTAATTAAATAAAATACATTGTGGCAAACTATGCAGATGCTGATATATATTGAAGAGAATTAGATTTGTTCCAATTAGATCTACACACAATTGTCTTCAAAAGGAATCAATATTTTCAATCGCCCTCTGTGGGCATGAACAATATCTGAAATATCAAATACAAACTGGAGAACATTCTGCGACAAAGTCACCGGCCTTCGCATCAGGTCGTTTACGGTATATAAAAGCAATGGAGGCTCCCATTAATGCCTGTTATCCTCAGGGTTCACAGAGATGGAGTTACAACACTGTCACCAAAGGGGATAAACGGAATGGAACGATGGTGCCAGGGGACTTTAAATACTATAACCACTCCGAGGAGTATAAGCAGTTAAAGTTTCTATAGTGTACCTTTAATGAAAATACTCCCTCGATTGCCTCTTGACCTTACCTTTATTATCTTTATGAGCGGCTCTCCTATGTGCAGCCTATGCCTATGTGCAGCCATTTTGATCTTATCTGCCCATGATCTCTCCTGTTTGTCCTGCTATAGGATTGATATTACTGATGAATTATGAGTAAATTTCATTAGCAACTGAAACAGAACATTGCCTTTGGCTCTGCCCATAGTCAAGTTTTGTGAACTTGGCTTCTATACATAAAGAAAAGTAGTCTCTGAATTTATGGAAACTAGAGCTCTCAGGAATGAAAATGAAAAGAGGTTGAGACAGTGAGAGATGCAGATTAGATAACATTTTTAATGGTACCTACATTGCCAGGGGTTAGATAGACAGTTTGTACTTGTCCCTAGTTTAAATCTTGCAAATTATAATTCTGGTTCTGGCATAATATTTTAACCATGTCAAACAAAACCCCTATGTAGGAACACATACAAGAGGAACGACAATGTGAAAACCACAATATGTGTATGTGGGGTATTGTGGCACCAAAATTAGTTTAACAGGGCAGCAATTCTTTCATATCACCTGAAGGGCTACTATATATGCAATCAATGCTTTTACACAAACTCATATCCTTTAGAGTAGACGTCCCCAAACTCCAGCCCTCCAGATGTTGCTGAACTACAACTTCCATGATTCACAGCCTATCTATTTAATTCATAGAATCATGGGAGTTGTAGTTCTGCAACATCTGTAGGGCCAGAGTTTGGGGAAGCCTGCTTTAGAGCGTGTTAGTGTCTACTATTCCGGTGCCTACGAGTCCGATACACACTATGTTGCTTTTTTGAAATATCAGCAGATATTTTCAATGTTACATTTATTGAAATGTTAGCCAGTCTCTTCTGGTCAAATGCGTTTATGACATCAGAATGCACAGATGACATCGTAGAGCCAATAATCCATAGGCAAAGCCTCAGAATCTCGGCGCGTGCTGTTTCTTGGTACGGACAAAAAGCTGTTTTAACACAGAGATACTGTTCGTATAGCCAAATTGAAATTTAAAAAAAACATGGAATTTGAAGGAGGTGGGAAAAAGAGGAAGAAGGAGGAAGATGAGGATAAAAAGCCTTATCCAAAAATGAAAAAAGAAAGTCATAGACATGATCGGCAGAGAGGTCGGTCAAGACACCGGAGCTGTAAGAGCCGAAATGAAAGAGTGGAGGAGAGCCGAAAGAGGCACAGAAATTATAAAAAGGAAGAGGACAAAATACGTAAAAAGAGAAAGATGATTGGATTTGGTACAGAGCAGGGAGAGAGTAAAAGAGGAGAAAAACGTAAAAGGGAGAATGAAGAGAAGTGTGCCCTGTCACCGTCTGACTTTACTTACAGACGGGAGCTTGGCAGAGGATCCTTTGGGAAGGTGAGTTGCAAGTATCGCTTCTACAGAAATACAGTGTTTTTATTATTGTTGGTGTTGATTTATGTGAATAATAGAAAGTGATATCTCCTAAAAACACCAAAGAGAAGAAGCAGGAACCCAACACTACAAAGAAATGAAAAAGTGGTATAAATACAGCAAACAATATTCCTTTTGTCATTTCTACGGGTACAGGGAACTGGAATACGGAAGAAGATATACAGGAATATTGTCAAATGATGTTAGTTTAGAACAGTAGATAACGTTATAATGTACGTACATATTGGAAGCCATGAATGCACCATACACAAACCTTATTGATTATGATTTCTTTGATCAGTTAGTTCATACTGCATATATAGTAAAACAATGAAATAGGTGTTTCATAAACTCAAACTTTTATTAGCAAGAGCTGTCAGAAAACATACACGCGACTTAAATATCAATGTAATTAATGTAATGGGAAAATAATCCAAGCAATTCCCTCTTTAACATATAATCACATATATACAAATCTGACTGTAACTGAGAGACAGTTCAATTATTCATTCATAAAATCAGAATATTGTGGACAGGAGGATCGTTTTTCAGCCATGTTGCAGACAAATTAATGGTATCTCTTCTCCCTGCCTATAACAGGTAATGCTGGCAACGGTCGGAAACAAGAGCGCAAGAGTGGCCGTGAAAGTCATCAAGAAAACGCGGATGACGGCAGAAAGGATTCTCGAAGAGAGGAATGTCCTGAAGGCGGCAGGTGAATGCCCCTTCCTCTGCCCTGGATTAGCTGCCTTTCAGACACCGGTACGGCATTTTATGTCTGTAGCTCTGAAGCCCTGTCCACTAATTTGTTGAAATAAATTTGTCTGTCATCTCTGCTGTCAGCCATTTGGCCAATAATCTGTTTGAGATGTCTGCAGGGTAAGGTTCCATGTGTTTATAATGATTTTTGTTTATGTGTCCTGAACCAGGCCCACGCGTTCTTCGTTATGCCACATGTGAGTGGAGGCAACCTGAGCATTATTCTCAAGAAGGAACCCTGCCTCGATCGCCACAAAGTAAAGTAAATAACATAGCGACATGAACAGTCCACATCCTTTATCTAGAACTAAAACCATATCCCACAATTCATAACAACCAACATACACATATCTAGATATACCTTATCTTTCATATTGAAACTGTTTCTCCTTTCCCACCAGATTTATGTCAGCAGAAATGGTCTGTGGCATCCAATTTCTCCACAGACATGGCATTATTCATCGGTATGAGATTCCATTTCTGTCTGTTCTCTCTTTGCTTTGTTCTCTATCTGAGTGCTACTCAAAGAGCGCCTTCCTTACTCTCTACTTATATTTAACCTCGGCTCACTCTCCCCTGGTCGATTCCATTATCTCGGTATATTAGCTCCTCTTCCTCTTTCCCCTGTTTTGCTTTCAATTTTTGCTTTACTCGCTGTAACTTTAAGTTCAGAAATGTTTTAAATGTATTGATCTGCAATTTCAGAGACCTAAAGCCGAGTAATATATTGTTTGAGAGAGATGGCCATGTTAGAATTGCCGATTTTGGACTGGCGGCTACTAATATATTTACAGGAGACAATACCACGGGTGTGACTGGGACTCTGCCCTACATGGCCCCTGAGGTGAGTTAGAATCTATTTCTACAGATGTTTTGTATATTTTCCTATGATATGTAAAGTTACTTCTCTTTAAACATATATATTATCTAAGAATGAAATGTTTTATGAAACTACCTGTAGTTAAACGATTGTCTAGTATCCTGAACTATTCTATTTTTTATTAGGAAATAGACGAGAAAATTAACTTTGTATTTCATAATACGTTGTTTTACAGGTGCTTTTAAACCAGGCGTACGGCCCAGCAGTGGACTGGTGGTCACTTGGCACAATTGCTTTTAAGATGCTGAGTGGAAGGCACCCATTTTACACCAGTCAGGACCCAAAACTTTACCGTGACTGCCTAAACACAAAGGAGCCCAGTTACCCACATTCGTTTTCTGGAGTAACACAAGACTTCTTGTCTGAGGTGGGTGTCAGCAACACTTATTTATAAGCTTTAAAGAACTGTTCTAATGGGAATGCTGGAAGATATGTATCTAAGAAAACATTTAGGAAATATGTTTAAGGATGTCGTATGATGCAAATGATGCAGGTATGTTCGGATGCATAGTTTAATGGCAATCAAGTAATCCCTCTCCTGCTAAATCTTGTCAGTAAAATTAATTTAAAATCTATAATAGAATCTAAAAATGATATAATTATGGCTTAAGTTGTTTAAATGATAGTGACATTAAATACATTTATCATTCTAGCTCCTCACAAAAGAGCCAAAATTGCGCCTTGGGGTATATGGTGACATCAGGGCCCATCCATTCTACAGCGGGGTAGATTGGAAGAACGTGGAGGCCGAAAACATTCATCCTCCATACCAGCCAATGGTGGTAAGTATATACAAGTTACATCAGCTCATATTGAATTACCAAATGCTGTAGAACATCTAACACTCTCACTCATAGGGAACAATGGTAATTTATGGCTTTATTAGAAAATGTAGAAAACCGATTGGGATATGTTAAATGAGATAGATAATTATCTACAATATATAATTGTTAAATTAAAAAATAAAAATATATGATGAGGTGGTACATTACCCTCCTTCGGCTAAAACAAATGGGGAGAAAATGTGGAACTGCACTCAGACCCTTCGTCTAAGGTATCCGTGGGTGCTAACTGGATCAGTCTCGGTACCAAGAGACCAAATAAGTAGGAGAAATGTATAAAGTAATCCAGGCACTCAAAAGTATCCAAAAAATAAATTTTTTATTGAACCCACGATCCAAAAAGCAACGTTTTGACCCTAAGGCCTTTGTCTAGTGATGTCCCAAACGGTTCGCCACGGACGGCGAACATAAACATAAACTTTGACCCTGTACCTCACAGTCAGCAGACACATTCCAGCCAATCAGCAGCAGACCCTCCCTCCCAGACCCTCCCACCTCCTGGACAGCTCACTAAGAATGCAGCTCCACAATGAATGTAAAATGGATGCTGTCCAGGAGGTGGGAGGGTCTGGGAGGGAGGGTCTGCTGCTGATTGGCTGGAATGTGTCTGCTGACTGTGAGGCACAGGGTCAAAGTTTATGTTTATGTTCGCCGTCCGCGGCGAACCGTTCGGGACATCACTACCTTTGTCTAGCTTGACAAAGACCTTAGGGTCGAAACTTTGTTTTTTGGATCATGGGTTCAATAAAAATTGCCTTTTTTGGATACTTTGGAGTGCCTGGATTACTTTCTACATTTCTAAAACAAACGGGGAGGACAGAATCAGACCGATGTTGAAACGGGTGTGGGAACAAGGGCACATATATCCACCTTTGGTGGGAATGTGACAATATCACGCAAATCTGGCTTCAAGTATCACAAATGACATCAATCAAACATAAAGTGAACAATGCTAGGAAGATGGACAACCTCTCCCCACTCATACATGACACCACAAAACACTATAATAAGATCTGGGAACCTTCGCTATTCGAATTTCCACCCGTAACCTAAATGGACCTTTATGGGGACACCGGACTGGGGCTGACAATGGAGGGGCACAAACCCGACCTCTCACTCTACCTCTTATCACACACTGACTTCACTCCCTTCCTCCACACAATATTTCCTTTCCATATTCCTTTTTTTCTCTCTCTCTCTCTCTCTCTCTATTCTCCTCCTTTCCCTCCCTCCCCTCCCCTACCCTCCCGTCCTCCTTATCTCTCATCCCTTTTCTAGCTGTCTTGCTTTCTTACCCCTCCCTTTCAAACCCAATGAGAGGGGCACTTCACTAACAAATGAGGGTAAACCCTAGTCTACCATTAGCTGCAGAGCATTAACAACTCTCTCTAACCTCAATGACTCCATACCGCGCCAAGATACAAAACACTTAAACATACAAACCAACGAACACACAAACACCCCCTGGGCTTGCAATGACACTTCAAAGTCAACAATCCTTGTGGCTTCTACCCATGTACTTTCCCAAACCACACAATCCTGCAAAACAGGAGGTTTCTCTGCCACCATACAGGAACTATGAGTATCACCACTTTGTCAACAAGGCTGAAGTACCTCGCACCTCCTCTGTAGCAGACTATATTACTAAATGTATAAATGCTAATTGTTGTACCCTGTTATTACCCGACTGTAACAATGTGATCAAAACCCTTAACGTCTTTTCTTCATTCTGTAATTCCCTTCCATGCAAACTAAAATTCAAAAAAATCAACATAAATAAAGAATTTATTTTAAAAATTAATATAAAAAAATATACACATGGAAAAAAAAGAAACATGATGAGAAATTAGAAGGGAAGAGGTAGTGATGGTTTGTTCAGTACACAAGACTATCTACTCTTATCTTATCAATCCTTGACAATTAGTTAACCTCAAAAGCAAGTATTAAACATGATCCTTCAAGAAGGTGATAAGAATTATATCCACTGTCCACACATGCTGTGGACATCATCAGTTTAGGAATGATTGTCAGAAATTAAAAACTTAAAACATTTAAAAATCAAAACAGATAGATAGACACATACTGACATACATACAAACATACACAGACAGATACACACACACACACACACACAGACATACATACTGACATACTGAAATACATACATACAAACACACTGACATACATACACACACATACATACTAAAATACATACATACACACAGACATAAAGATAGACACATACTGACATACATACACACAGACATACATACAAACACATATATACATACTGACATGCATACATACAGACACATACTGACATACACACACAAACACATACTAACATACACTCATACACACAGACAGATACATACACACACAGGCATACATACTGACATTCTGAAATACATACATACATACACATACATAAAGACATGCATACATACTGAAATATATACACACATACTGACATACATACACACAGACATACATACACACAGACAGACATACAAACACATACATACACACACACATACTGAAATACATACACAGTGACAGACATACATACAAACACATACTGACATACATACACACAGACAGACATACATACAGATACATACACATACTGACATACATGCATACATACATACATACTGACATACATACACACACAGCTAATTTTTCTTACTTTGTTTTGCAGGAGGGTGGCTGTGGCTGATGGGAGTCAGCGTGGCTCTTCTGTCCTCGCGGCCTGTCTTTCTTCCCTCCCGCACGGAGGGAGCTGGGAGGAAGTGACGGCCACTTCCTCCCAGCACTACTTTGCAGCTGCAAATATTTAAATATTTCCTGCCACTATAGTGCTCCTTTAATTATAAATGAACAGAATTAGTGTGGTAATCATTTCAGGCTTATGTTGAAAAAGTGATCTATTTTTATTTAAATGTTATATACTTACATTTTTATTGACATCATTGATAATTATTTAAAACATGTGATATGAATGTAATGTGCCATTACATGTTACTGAAATAAGAGACCCTTCCATCTTTTTACAGGAGTCATATGGCGACCTAACATCTGAGTGCCGGGAGGAGTCCCTCTCATTTCTGAATGATAGTAACACATCAGAATACACCGAGGACATCCCTGGCTTATCTTTCACTAGCCACAAATGGAGGGACTAAGCTATCGAAGCAGAAAGACGATATCTCCTGCTGTATTCCATCAGATTAGCTTCTCTTGCTGCATTTCATCACAGCAGCTTCTCGTTGTATTCCATCAATGCAAACATTGTCTTCTGCTTCATTCTATCTGTAAGAACTTCTTCTGATGGTTAACTGATCATTGAGACCCTATTTTCTCTAATTATTAAACATGTAGATACATACTGAAAAATGTAATATTCTGTTTTCTTTTCATTCCACGAACTACCTCCAGTTTTTTCTAGAAAGGGCAGTACATTGTATAGGGCCCCACAAACGTCCCCCCATCCAATTCTCTTGTTACACTCATGGATGATAAGGTTAAGTTCCCAAATAGAGGCACCTATGTGCCACTCAAAGTCTGGGTGACAGATTTTCCCCTCCAAGATATGGCACAGAACTGGGGAAGCTCCCCTTTACCCTCATTCCCCTACCGTGTACCATTCCCTGGGTATGGTAGCCAATACTAGAGTGGGAAAATATGCTAGTGGTGTGTCCTCTGGGAAATCTATCCCTATACCTCATAGGGAGCAACGAGGATCAGTGCCAGGCAAGAGAGCTATTGTTTTGCCTTTAGGGAACACTAGGAGTTTGAATGGGTTTCACCATGTAAACTGTACTTATTGAACTCGAAGAATATTGGATATTGGCTTACATTCCATTCTGTGTTGGAAGGTGGTTGGTGAGGGGTATTGGAAAATTAGTAGCTCCTTCCTGAAGTATGTGATTGGACCCTCTCTGCTTTTTCGGATAATCACTTCCTTGGTCTGATAATGATGAAAGCGGATGATAAAGTCCCTCGGTGCCTCAGAAGGTGCTCCACAAGCCTGTAAAGCATGATGCACCCTATCTACCTGCCATGTCCAATAAATGTATATTACGATTGTCGGAACTTTGTAAGTAGTCATGCCTCGGGGGCCATGGTACCATCAGGGTTATATTGCATTCCAATTATGTTCTTTGATCCATTAGAGGCTGTCTGTGATGTGCAGCAACTTATCCTTTATTTTAAGTTACTTAACTGTATATAGTTACAAAGTTTTTAAAGGAGATGCATTGTGTACAGTGTATATTGAGACCAGGCCCCAGTAGTTATCTACATATATAACTCTCCTGGAGAGAATGGAATACAACACAATATACATAACTTACTTCAATAAAAAAACAAAGCAAATTAAAGAAAATTTATGAAATTACCAGACCGAGAAAAAACAGAGTGGCCTTCATTTTCAACAGATATAAAATCCCACACATTTAGTCATACTGGGTATTAGAAAATTAGGGTGGATTAAGACTTGGTGGGGACAAATCCCTGGTGGTCCTCTCCATCCCCGATGGAGACAAAAGCAGTTGTAAGATACTTTGCTAGATGTTCTCCAAAACAATTCTAGAAAACCTGATGGTTATTTCATCTCTCTTTCCCCAGACTAATTTCGCAAGTAATGTATTACCACCATTGGTAAACCCCATGCACACAGATCACAAGTTGTTAAAGCTCTAGGTATCTAAAGCTGAAAGGTAAACCAGATTTGAACATATTTAAAAGCACACGCCTCTGAAGTCTGACTGTTCAATTTTCTGCCATTTAGGAGTTAAAGGGACACTATAGTAATGATTATACTCACTAGAACAGGGGTAGACAACCTACGGCACTAGTGCCATGCACGGCACTCGAGGTGTCTTTGTTCGGCACTCAAGGCTGCTAGAGCCAAACAGGCTCCTGCCTATCAGGAGTCCCAGTAAATCTTCAGCTATCTGCTAATACGAAGAGGTGGTGAAGGACAAGCCTCAATGTATGCATTGCAGAACGTAGTGGAAGTGATCTCAGATCACTTCCTCCCAGCACTTGTGAATGGGAATCCACACAGTAGTAGAGCAGCCGGCAGCTCCTGTCCTTGACCTGTACTTGGCCAGCCTGGTCCCCACTGGAACCCAGGGAAGCTACCCACACTGCTAGATATACATAGACCTACAGAATAAGCCTTCCCTCATTCAAATAATACCAACAGCCCACACACAAACACAGGGCCGCCATCAGGGGGTGACAACCATGATGGATGTAACGGGCCCGGCGGACCTGGGGGGCCCGGACTGCTTTGGCAGTCCAGGGCCCCACAATTACTCTCTGCACATATATATAGCGATGATCGCTATGTATATGTGCAGTGCATGTGCAGCCGCGGGCCCCCGGCTCTCTGTACTTGCAGAGGGGGCCCAGTGGACTGCAAGTGTACTTACAAGCTCTTCCCTCTCTGTAACTCCCGCGAGACCCGCGGCCGTCAACACTCCACAAGGCACGCACACCGTGCTCGCGGGAGTTACAGAGAGGGGAGAGCTTGTAAGTACACTTGCAGTCCGCTGGGCCCCTTTTGCAAGTACAGTGAGCTGGGGGCCCCCACAATGCCACCGGACCACCAGGGATCATGGTATCTCCCCCCTCCCTGAACCAGGTAAGAAACAGGGAGAGGGGAATAACATTTTTGGAATGCTCCATTTACACTGCATGCATAAACTACACTAACACACACACTGCAATCATTACACTAACACACACACGGCATTCACTACACTAACACACACACTGCATTCACTACACTAACACACACTCTGCATACACTACACTAACACACACACTGCAATCATTACACTAACACACACACTGCATTCACTACACTAACACACACTGCAATCATTACACTAACACACTGCAATCATTACACTAACACACACTCTGCATACGCTACGCTAACACACACACACTGCATTCATTACACTAACACACACACTGCATTCACTACACCAACACACACACTGCATTCATTACACTAACACACACACTGCATTAATTACACTAACACACACACTGCATACACTACACTAACACACACACTGCAATCATTACACTAACACACACTCTGCATACACTACACTAACACACACTGCAATCATTACACTAACACACACACTGCAATCATTACACTAACACACACACTGCATTCACTACACACTAACACTCTCTGCATTCACTACACTAACACACACACTACATTCACTACACTAACACACACTCTGCATACACTACACTAACATACACTGCAATCATTACACTAACACACACTCTGCATACACTACACTAACACACACTGCAATCATTACACTAACACACACACTGCAATCATTACACTAACACACACACTGCATTCACTACACACTAACACTCTCTGCATTCACTACACTAACACACACACTACATTCACTACACTAACACACACTCTGCATACACTACACTAACACACTGCACATTACACTAACACACACTCTGCATACACTACACTAACACACACACTGCATTCACTACACTAAAACACACACTGCAATCACTACACTAACACACACTGCAATCATTACACTAACACACACTCTGCATACAGTACACTAACACACACTCTGCATACACTACACTAACACACACACACTCTGCATCCACTACACTGACACACACTCTGCATTCATTACACTAACACACACTCTGCATACACTACACTGACACACACTCTGCATACACTACACTGACACACACTCTGCATTAAAGGGCCACTATAAGCACCCAGACCACTTCAGCTTAATGAAGTGGTCTGGGTGCCAGGTCTAGCTAGGGTTAACCCTTTTTTTAATAAACATAGCGGTTTCAGAGAAACTGCTATGTTTATGTTAGGGTTAATCCAGCCTCCAGTGGCTGTCTCTTGACAGCTGCTAGAGGCGCTTGCGTGCATCTCACTGTGAAAATCATTCACAATGCTCTCCTATGGACTGGCTGAATGCGCGCGCAGCTCCTGCCGCGCATGCGCCTTCAGCCGAAGAGGAGGAGAAGAGGGAGGAGAGGAGGAGGAGAGCTCCCCGCCCGGCGCTGGAGAAAGAGGTAAGTTTATCCCCTTCCTCTCCATCCAGCCCGGCGTGAGGGGGACCCTAATGTGGGGGCACCCTCAGGGCACTATAGTGCCAGGAAAACGAGTATGTTTTCCTGGCACTATAGTGGTCCTTTAACTATACACACAGCATCCACTACACAAACATCCTGTATTCACAGTACACACACTACATCCACCACACATTCAAACACTCTGCATTCACTATACAGAGACACTGCATCTAATACACACACTACATTCACTACAGACACTGCATCCACTAAACACATTGCATCTGGTACACACAAACACTACATCCACTACACAAACACACACTACATCCACTACTCAAACACACTCTGCGTTCACTATACACACTGCATCCGCTACAAAAAACACACACTCTGCATTCACTGCACAAACAGTATCTAATACACACAAACACTACATCCATTACACACATTCTAATTCACTATACACACCACATTCAGTCCTGCATCATTTGCAGCAGACTAGGTAAGAGTCCTGTGGGCGGACTCGTGGGCGGGCAGGGGGGCCCAGACCTTGTGCTGTGTCAGGGGCCCCAAAATTTCTGGTGGCGGCCCAGCACAAACATACACACAATCCCCACAAACGTAACCCGCTAACAATCCACTTACATGCACACAACCCCACATGCAGCTTCTTACTTGCAATACCCCAAACAGCCACACACATACACACACTACCAAACACACAATGTGACATATCCATCCACACACACAATTCCACAAGCAGCCCTCATACACAGCCCACATTCATAGGTATCATACACAATACCATAAACTACTCATGAACATATACAATATAAAAGCTCATATGTGCACAAATACAACGATACAAAGCAATTACAGTATAAATAACACAAGCAGAATACGGAAGCATACACACATCAATTTAAAAAAATAGGACCGGCATGCTACGGGACATCACCATCCTATATCGGCACAGTGCTGCTAAAAGGTTGCCTACCCCTACACTAGAACAACTACATTATTCTGTAGTTGTTTTGGTGAGTATAATCATTACCTTCAGGCATTTTCATGCAAACACTGGTGTTTCAGAGAAAAGGCAGTGTTTACATTGCCCCCTAGGGACACCTCCAGTAGCCACTCATCAAATGACCACTGGAGGTGCTTCCTGGGGCAGTGCCGCTCAGTAGGCAGCACTGCCATTCAGCGTCTCATCTCTCTGCATGAAGACGCTGAATTTTCCTCATAGAGATGCATTGATTCAACGTATCTCTATGAGGAGGTGCTGATTGGCTATGAAAAAGCATTGGATTGGCTAAAAATGGTAAATTATGATGCTGTCACCAAGAAGGCGGATCAGGGCAGGCCACCTAAATGGTGGTGTTAACACTATAGGGTCAGGAATACAGGTTTGTGTTCCTTTAAATCACTTTTGTTACTATTTATTCAGCCCTAGTCACACGTCCCCTGCCTATGACTCACACAGTTTGCATTAAAAAAATAGTTTTATTTTCAAACAGATATTATCCCCAAGCCCCTAGTCACAGCAACCCCCCACCCCCCAAATAAAATAAAACCCTATCTACCTCCCCTCACCCTAAAGTAGTAAGAGGGGAACAATAAAACTAAATACCTGTAACTAAAAAAAAAATCATACCATTTGATGTCTTCTTTTTTCTAAAACCTTCTTTTTCCAGCCCCCCAAAATTGCAAATTAAAATCCACAAAGCCAGTCAAACCTATAAAATAAAAAAAGACCTTAGTGCAAAAAAATTAAATGCTAAAAAACAATCCATTTTCACCCAGCGAGGGCTCCGTGCAGACTGAGCTCCGCAGGGCAAGAAAAGGCTTATATAGCCCTACTGTCATTTAGGGCCCCCACCCGCCGCTCATGGGTGGGGGCCGGTGGACACACAATAGGACCTCCTACCCATTGTAACTTAGGGCCCCCATCCATCGCTCACGGTAGGGGTCGGGGAGGGACAGTAGGTCCCCACATTATCATTTAGAGCCCCCACCCGCCCCTCACTGGTGGGGGCTGGGGAAGGGGGAGACAATAAGGACACTATGCCCCCCCATATTTTAATAGATGCCCCACCATGGGCACATTATTAGATTGGGGGGTCTTTTTTCTTTTGTACATCAGTGAGCAGCCACTGGCATGACAGTGCCGCTTTAAGAAATGGTAAGATACTTCTCCCACCAACTAGGTTACTTTCCTTTAATTCTCTGCAGTAAAATTAAAGAATTTCACTAACTGTACTTTAAACTTCAATAGAAACGGTTCTTCGTTATCTGTATAGCCCATTTAATAAATATGTGACACCCAACAGGCTGCACTCACCTAAACATGCATACTTTATAAGGATGAGGCTAGGACAGGGGCGGACTGAGCACTTGGGCACTCCAGTCATGGACCGAAAGCCCAGGGCAGGCAGGGGACCGTCAGAAGCAGAGCAGTATTGGGTCAGTTAGGGACATCAGTATATCTTCATAACTAGTCCACAACAATACTAACTGAGTGCCAGTTACAGACATCCCAGACTGCACAGTCTCTCAACCCAGGGAAGGCAGGGGACCGTCAGCAGCAGAGCAGTATTGGGCCAGTTAGGGACATCAGTATATCTTCATAACTAGTCCACAATACTAACTGAGTGCCAGTTACAGACATCCCAGACTGCACAGTCTCTAAGCCCGGGGCAGGCAGGGGACTGTCAGCAGCAGAGCAGTATTGGGCCAGTTAGGGCATCCCAGACTGCACAGTCTCTAAGCCCGGGGCAGGCAGGGGACCGTCAGCGGCAGAGCAGTATTGGGCCAGTTAGGGCATCCCAGACTGCACAGTCTCTAAGCCCGGGGCAGGCAGGGGACCGTCAGCGGCAGAGCAGTATTGGGCCAGTTAGGGCATCCCAGACTGCACAGTCTCTAAGCCCGGGGCAGGCAGGGGACCGTCAGCAGCAGAGCAGTATTGGGCCAGTTAGGGCATCCCAGACTGCACAGTCTCTAAGCCCGGGGCAGGCAGGGGACCGTCAGCGGCAGAGCAGTATTGGGCCAGTTAGGGCATCCCAGACTGCACTATCTCTAAGCCCGGGGCAGGCAGGGGACCGTCAGCGGCAGAGCAGTATTGGGCCAGTTAGGGCATCCCAGACTGCAGTCTCTAAGCCCGGGGCAGGCAGGGGACCGTCAGCAGCAGAGCAGTATTGGGCCAGTTAGGGCATCCCAGACTGCACAGTCTCTAAGCCCGGGGCAGGCAGGGGACCGTCAGCGGCAGAGCAGTATTGGGCCAGTTAGGGCATCCCAGACTGCACAGTCTCTAAGCCCGGGGCAGGCAGGGGACCGTTAGTGGCAAAGCAGTATTGGGCCAGTTAGGGCAGCCCAGACTGCACAGTCTCTAAGCCCGGGGCAGGTAGGGGACCGTCAGCGGCAGAGCAGTATTGGGCCAGTTAGGGCATCCCAGACTGCACAGTCTCTAAGCCCGGGGCAGGCAGGGGACTGTCAGCAGCAGAGCAGTATTGGGCCAGTTAGGGACATCAGTATATCTCCATAACTAGTCCATAACAATACTAACTGAGTGCCAGTTACAGACATCCCAGATTGCACAGTCTCTAAGCCCGGGGCAGGCAGGGGACTGTCAGCAGCAGAGCAGTATTGGGCCAGTTAGGGACATCAGTATATCTCCATAACTAGTCCATAACAATACTAACTGAGTGCCAGTTACAGACATCCCAGATTGCACAGTCTCTAAGCCCGGGGCAGGCAGGGGACCGTCAGCGGCAGAGCAGTATTGGACCAGTTAGGGCATCCCAGACTGCACAGTCTCTAAGCCCGGGGCAGGCAGGGGACCGTCAGCGGCAGAGCAGTATTGGACCAGTTAGGGCATCCCAGACTGCACAGTCTCTAAGCCCGGGCCAGTTAGGGCATCCCAGACTGCACAGTCTCTAAGCCCGGGGCAGGCAGGGGACCGTCAGCGGCAGAGCAGTATTGGGCCAGTTAGGGCAGCCCAGACTGCACAGTCTCTAAGCCCGGGGCAGGCAGGGGACCGTCAGCGGCAGAGCAGTATTGGGCCAGTTAGGGCATCCCAGACTGCACAGTCGGGGCAGGCAGGGGACCGTCAGCGGCAGAGCAGTATTGGGCCAGTTAGGGCATCCCAGACTGCACAGCCTCTCACACTGCTTGTCCTGCCAGGTGGTACTCAGTGCTCAGTACTGCAGGAACTTCCTGGGTGAGGGGCTCTGGCAGGATCTGACATCAGATCCCCGAACACACACAGAGCAGCTCCTTCAGGGATTGTCAGCAATGTGTGCAGGGAGGATGGAGGACAGTCAGCAGCACATGGTCTGCGTGCACAAGGTAAACGCAAGGAAAGAGGGACATGGGGAGAAAGACATAAATGGGGATTAGGAAGGGAGACATCAGTAGAGGCAGGAAAAAAGAGACAGACAGAGAGACACACACACCAGTGACAGCTACTAAAGAGAGAAAGAGATAGAAGTCAGTTACTAAATAGAGAGAGAAAGGGAGAGTTACTAGAGAGAGAGAAAGGGATAGTTACTAAATAGACAGAGAAAAGGAGTGTTACTAGAGAGAAAGGGAGAGTTACTAAATAGACAGAGAAAAGGAGAGTTACTAGAGAGAAAGGGAGAGTTACTAAATAGACAGAGAAAGGGAGAGTTACTAGAGAGAAAGGGAGAGTTACTAAATAGACAGAGAAAGGGAGAGTTACTAGAGAGAAAGGGAGAGTTACTAAATAGACAGAGAAAGGGAGAGTTACTAGAGAGAAAGGGAGAGTTACTAGAGAGAAAGGGAGAGTTACTAGAGAGAGAGAGAAAGGGAGAGTTACTAGAGAGAGAGAAAGGGAGAGTTACTAGAGAGAGAAAGGGAGAGTTACTAGAGAGAAAGGGAGAGTTACTAAATAGACAGAGAAAGGGAGAGTTACTAGAGAGAAGGGGAGAGTTACTAGACAGAGAAAGGGAGAGTTACTAGAGAGAAAGGGAGAGTTACTAGAGAGAGAAAGGGAGAGTTACTAGAGAGAGAGAGAGAAAGGGAGAGTTACTAAATAGACAGAGAAAGGGAGAGTTACTAGAGAGAGAAAGGGTGAGTTACTAGAGAGAGAGAGAGAAAGGGAGAGTTATTAAATAGAAAGAGAAAGGGAGAGTTACTAGAGAGAAAGGGAGAGTTACTAGACAGAGAAAGGGAGAGTTACTAGAGAGAAAGGGAGAGTTACTAGACAGAGAAAGGGAGAGTTACTAGAGAGAGAGAAAGGGAGAGTTACTAGAGAGAGAGAAAGGGATAGTTACTAAATAGACAGAGAAAAGGAGTGTTACTAGAGAGAAAGGGAGAGTTACTAAATAGACAGAGAAAGGGAGAGTTACTAGAGAGAGAGAGAAAGGGAGAGTTACTAGAGATAAAGGGAGAGTTACTAGAGAGAGAGAAAGGGAGAGTTACTAGAGAGAGAGAGAAAGGGAGAGTTACTAGTGATAAAGGGAGAGTTACTAGAGAGAGAGAAAGGGAGAGTTACTAAATAGAGAGAGAAAGGGAGAGTTACTAGAGAGAAAGGGGGAGTTACGAGAGAGAGAAAGGGAGAGTTACTAGAGAGAAAGGGAGAGTTATGAGAGAGAAAGGGAGAGTTACTAGAGAGAGAGAAAGGGAGAGTTACTAGAGAGAGAGAGAAAGGGAGAGTTACTAGAGAGAGAGAGAAAGGGAGAGTTACTAGAGAGAAAGGGAGAGTTACTAGAGAGAGAGAAAGGATTTCACTAGAGAGAAAGGAGAGTTACCAGAGACAGAGAGGGAGATTACTCAGAGAGAAAAGGAGAGTTACTAGAGAGAGAGAGAAAGGGAGAGTTACTAGAGACAGAGAAAGGGAGAGTTACTAGAGAGAGAGAGAGAAAGGGAGAGTTACTAGAGAGAAAGGAAGAGTTACTAGAGAGAGAGAAAGGGATTTACTAGAGAGAAAGGGAGAGTTACTAGAGACAGAGAAAGGGAGAGTTACTAGAGAGAGAGAGAGAAAGGGAGAGTTACTAGAGAGAAAGGAAGAGTTACTAGAGAGAGAGAAAGGGATTTACTAGAGAGAAAGGGAGAGTTACTAGAGACAGAGAAAGGGAGAGTTACTAGAGAGAGAGAGAGAAAGGGAGAGTTACTAGAGAGAAAGGAAGAGTTACTAGAGAGAGAGAAAGGGATTTACTAGAGAGAAAGGGAGAGTTACTAGAGACAGAGAAAGGGAGAGTTACTAGAGAGAGAGAGAGAAAGGGAGAGTTACTAGAGAGAAAGGAAGAGTTACTAGAGAGAGAGAAACGGAGAGTTACTAGAGGGAGAGAGAAAGGGAGAGTTACTAGAGAGAAAGGGAGAGTTACTAGAGAGAGAGAAAGGGAGAGTTACACTCTCACACAGTTACAGACAGAGAGACAAGTCAAAGCTTCTGGAATAAAAGGGAATCATGAAATGTCACACATGTCACGTGTCCATAAGGAGTTAAAGGCATACTCTAAGCACAGCACTTTGTAGTGTCTGTGGATCTTAGATTAGCTCACCCTGAATTCATACACACTGTTTTACCTTACAAACACACTGCTACATTAAGACACATGCAACACACTATTGTATTCAAACCAGGTGACATGCCTTACATACACACCCCTTCATTCACACACACTCCACAATTACACACTATTGTATTCACACCAGGTGACATGTCTTACATACACACCCCTTCATTCACACACTCCACAATTACACACTATTGTATTCACACCAGGCGACATGCCTTACATACACACCCCTTCATTCACACACACTCCACAATCACACACTATTGTATTCACATCAGGTGACATGCCTTACATACACACCCCTTCATTCACACACACTCCACAATTACACACTATTGTATTCACACACTTGGACTATATTTACACACTTTGACACTGTGCACAAATACATTTTTGCATCCTGTCATTTCACACAAATACACTATTGTAGTCACACCAGGTGACATGCCTTACATACACACCCCTTCATTCACACACACTCCCCATTTACACACTATTGTCATCACACCAGGTGACATGTCTTACATACACACCCCTTCATTCACACACACTCCACAATTACACACTATTGTATTCACACACTTGGACTATATTTACACACTTTGACACTGTGCACAAATAAATGTTTGCATCCTGTCATTTCACACAAATACACTATTGTAGTCACACCAGGTGACATGCCTTACATACACAACCCTTCATTCACACACACTCCACAATTACACACTATCGTATTCACACCAGGTGACATGCCTTACATACACACCCCTTCATTCACACACACTCCATATTTACACACTATTGTCATCACACCAGGTGACATGCATTACATACACACCCCTTTATTCACACACACTCCACAATTACACACTATTGTATTCACACACGTATACTATATTTACACACTTTGACACTGTGCACAAATACATTTTTGCATCCTTTCATTTCACACTCACAAACCCAGACATCATACACTAATATAGCCGTACATTCAGTCAAAGGTTATAAAGCTTTCTATATAAACACATCCATTCACCAACTTGCTCTATTTAAAAACATTTTTGCATTTGCACATTCAAATGCTTTTTTAAATTTAAGTATACTGGCATTAGGTACATGAATGAGCACCTACACTTTGTATGTACACACGCGTAATTATTCACTATAGTGAGAATTGTCAGGAATTCATAGTGAATTTCAAATTTACGGACAAATTAATTAGCCAAACTGGAAGTATAGTCGATTTAAAAAAAAAATGTGTAGTTCTGCGATTTTGGCCTTAAATTTGAAATTCACCTTGAATTGCTGACAGGTCTCACTTAAGTGAATAATCCTGATATTTAAACATGCATTCATAGACATGCCTTCACACTGAACATACACAAGCAAACACACACAGCACACCTTATTGACTGAACTGGGAATAGTAGATAACTGACGTGAATTTTGTAAGCCAAAATTAGCAATTTAAAAAAAATCTACTGCTTGAGTGATTAAATGACCACTATAGGCACCCAGACCACTTCAGCTTAATGAAGTGGTCTGGGTGCCGGATCCCTCTAGGGTTAACCCTGCAGCTGTAAACATAGCAGTTTCAGAAAAACTGCTATGTTTACATTTGGGTTAATCCAGCCTCTAGTGGCTGTCTCAGCGCTTCACAGTGAGAAGACGCCAGCGTTCATAGGAAAGCATTGAGAATGGAGAAGCAGAGTCCCCAGCGCCCAGGGATGAATTTAACCCCTTCAGCCCCCTAGAGCCCAGCAGGAGTGGGACCCAGAGGGTGGGGGGGGACCTAATAATACTATAGTGCTAGGAAAACGAGTTTGTTTTCCTGGCACTATAGTGGTCATTTAAGATTCTTGTTTTGCTGCCTACAATTTTTTTTTTTTTTTAGTTCTCTACTATTTATTGCTAAACACCTATATGATTCATTCACTAAACAGTTATGTCACAAAATCAAGGCTAAAATAGACAAGATGTGAATGTAAATGCATGCAGGAACTGTCTATACTCACCAGATCAACTACATTAAGCTGTAGTTGTTCTGGTGTCTATATAGTGTCCCTTTAAGTTTGTATTAGACCACAAAGAAGTGAGTTATTTACTATATACACTCCTCTCTCTATCTTATGAAGGAGACCATTGTATAAAGAGAAAGGGCTGCCCGCATAATAGGCAAACGATTAGTAGCCCAATAATATAAAATAAGTTATTATTTGGAAGGGAGAGAGAGATACACATTTAGCAATGTAAAGAACTTGATCTTTGAGTTTCTCTCTACTGAAAAGTCCAAAAAGCTCCTCTCGGAAGAAGAAATCGAAAGAAATAAGATAAAGGTTATAAAAGAACACAATATAACCTAATCGTTTTTAAGCAGTACGCTTGGGTTGCTTATTTTCCGTTTTTTTTCTTTTTTTCTTTCTTGTCTCATTATAATAATGGCCACTAAAAGAAATGTACATTACTGTATGAGTTTTCTCTGTTTTGTTTGCCTCCACCCTTTTAAATTCAAATCTGCTATCACTAGAGCCGTGGGGCATGGGCGGACTGAGCACTCGGGCTGCCAGACTGCACAGCCTCTTACCCTGCCACTGGTACACCAGGGAGGGCGGCAGTAATTTCCTGTGTGAGGTGCTTTGGACAGGGTCTAACACTAGGGCCCCGCCCCCTGCAAACAGAGCCCCACCCTCTGTTCACGCAGAGCCCCACCACCTCCACACACTGAGCTCCGCACTCTCCACACACACACAGAGCCCCGCACCCTCCACACACACACACACTGAGCCCTGCACTCTACACACACACACGCAGAGCCCTGTAACCTCCACACACACACAGAGAGCAGCTCCTCCAGGGATCATGAGGAAGGAGGACAGACAGCAGCATCCAGCCACCACGCACAAGGTAACATGTATAAGGTATCTATCCTCCTTTATACACAAGTATGTCCTGTATAGGCCCTTACGATCTGCTGAAGACTTACGTCTATCTTCTGTCCGTACTCCCACCTCTGATGCTCGCCTTCAAGATTTCTCGAGGGCTGCACCGTTCCTGTGGAACTCGCTTCCCTCCTCCGTTAGATGCTTACCCAGTCTCCACTCCTTCAAAAAATCGTGAAAAACCCACTTCTTCATAAAAGCGTATCAATTAAACTGTTAATAGCTCCTGACTGATTCCTCTTCTGCAACTGTCACTAGTCTAATACTATCCTTACTGTAACGGACCATTTTGCACACAAAAGGTTAAAAACCGTTTAGGCGATATTCCCCTTTCAGCTGCACAGACAGCTACTGCGATCACCAATCTCCTGAACTGCAAACTACACAAATTCTCCAACTCCCGAACAGGAAACACATGAACACTGGAAACAGCCGAACAGGAAAAGCATACAATCAGCTTACACTCCTGGCAATCCGCATACAATCCAATTCCCCCAATAACGAGACGACACTTCGTTTTGAGGTCAAGCAGAACTGACTGTACTGGCCACCCAGTAACTCCACAGTATGTCCCCAGATGGTTCTTAAATGGCCAGCAGCAGCATAATAAAATCAAGTATGCCCACATCAGTTTCTAGAAGGGCAATACATCCCAGGGCTATAGTCGCAGGGCAGGAGGCTAGCAAACAGGCCCCTCCAAAAACCAGTGGCGAGGTTTCTTTCGCCACATATCTCCCCTTTGGGGGGAAGAGTAACCAGGTACCTGACCTTTTGTCGGTCAGCGCCTGAGTTAGTCTGACAACCCACCCACAACAGCAAAGTGCAAGAGCAGCCCACCCACAACAAACAGTTACTGCACCTAGGTATTTCTCTGGGGTGATGGGGCAACAGGCCAGCGGCGCTCTGCCCTGATGCCAGCGCTTCTGCTGGGGTGAGGGGGGTGCAGGCCAGTCCTGTAACAAGGGGGTCGGTAGGGCAGGGGCCAGCGGCGCTCTGCCCTGATGCCAGCTCTTCCGCTGGTATAGCCTGCAGGACATCATGCTCTGGACAAGGGACAAAGGGAGGGCAGAGGCCAACTGCACTCTGCCCAGCTGCCAGCTCTTGTGCTGGGGTGCTTGGGACATAGTCTGGCTCAGTAGCCAGGGGAACATGGGGGTCAGTGGGGGTTAACATCTCCTCTGTTAACCCTGGGGCCAAGTTAGGAGTTAGCTGGGGAGGGGAGAATTGGCTTACCTCCTCCTCCTGATACTCCTGCGATGGTAGCTGGGGATCTGGACAGGCTGTCCAGCATCCCTGTGGGTCAGGCACAGAGACCACGGTCCCATCTGCGCCGTCTGGAAGATTGGTGTCTCCCCTTGGTAGGGAAAGCTGCTGCTGGGGAGAGAGGGTGCTGTGCTCCTCTCCCTGAATCACAGGCTGCCGCTGGAGAGGGAGACCGACCGTCTCCACTCCCGTAACATTGTCCTGCTGCTGGAGAAAGAGACCAACTGTCTCTGTTCCTTGTAGGACACACTGCTGCTGGGGGGGAAGGACAACAGCTTCGGCCCCCTGGAACTTACACTGCCGCTGGGGGGGAAGGACGACACCTTCGGCTTCCTGGAACTCACACTGCCGCTGGGGAGGAAGGACGGTACCTTCAGCTCCCTGTAACTCGCACTGCCGCTGGGGAGGAAAGACGGCACCTTCAGCTCCCTGTAACATACACTGCCGCTGGGACGGAAGGATGGCACCTTCAGCTCCCTGGGACTCACACTGCCGCTGGGGAGGAAGGACGGTACCTTCAGCTACCTGTAACTCGCACTGCCGCTGGGGAGGAAGGACGGCACCTTCAGCTCCCTGTAACACACACTGCCTCTGGGAAGAAAGGACGGCACCTTCAGCTCCCTGTAACTCACACTGCCGCTGGGGAGGAAGGACGGCACCTTCAGCTCCCTGTAACACACACTGCCGCTGGGGAGGAAGGACGGCACCTTCAGCTCCCTGTGACTCGTTCGGCCGCTGGGGTCTCTCCCCCCTGGCCAACTCTGCTAGGAATTGCAGGTATTCTCCTATTATTTTCTTGACGTGCTGTACGGATCTCTCCGAGGGGTTGGATCCATAGACAGACAGCACCGCATTAACCTCTCTGTCAAACTGCTCCTGAGTGTAGCCAGGCGCCATGCTTGCTCTGCCGAAGTTGGTTCCTTTGTACATAGGGGTGCTGTACGGGTACTAGCGTTGCCCCTCAATTTGTAATCCAGGAACTGGTGTTGTCTTGTAGCTGTTCTTCTGGGCTGTGGGAATGATCCCACTGCTGCCACCAATTGTAACGGACCGTTTTGCACACAAGAGGTTAAAAACCATTTAGGCGATATTCCCCTTTCAGCTGCACAGACAGCTACTGCGATCACCAATTTCCTGAACTGCAAACTACACAAATTCTCCAACTCCCAAACAGGAAACACACGAACACTGGAAACAGCCGAACAGGAAAAGCATACAATCAGCTTACACTCCTGGCAATCGGCATACAATCCAATTTCCCCAATAACGAGACGACACTTCGTTTTGAGGTCAAGCAGAACTGACTGTACTGGCCACCCAGTAACTCCACAGTATGTCCCCAGATGGTTCTTAAATGGCCAGCAGCAGCATAATAAAATCAAGTATGCCGGGGGGGTGGCCTGGACGAGCATGGAGCAGGACGCTTAGACACTGAGCTCCGCGTCCCCGGCCGACGACCATAAGCCATAATATCGCATTACAGCTCACCTACCGCTGCAAATGGTCCGCAATAAGAAGCAGTCAATCCCAGTGTAACAACAAGCCCAGTATGCCTGCAAAAGACAAATGGATTATACAGCCGTTCGGTATTTTTGTAAGCATTCACCATGCGAATGCTTACCTGCCTTAACAGGCCACCCTGACTGTTAATTATGGCCAATTTACCTCCCTGGTTGATGGGCATTGTATTCGAATCAACCGCACAACGCTTCCACAGCTGCGCCAACGTCTCGCTTTTTAACTCTGCCGAACAGCTGGGCTCCTTTTGCCGATGAATGTCTGGAACTGCGGGTACGAGACTCCCTGGTACTAGCCTTGATCACCCTACCCAATTCAGGAAGGAGGACATGGCCCTGGAAGTCACACTAGAGGAAGCAGCCTTGAAACTGGCTGTTAAGCTCTTGTCAGGCCTCATGGACTGTTGGGTGCTGACACCCACTGCCGATATAGACCAATACTCTTATTTCTCCTTTTGTCACACAAGAGGTTACAGTAGGCGATATTCTCCCTTTCACGGCTGGCAGACAGAGCAGCTCAAACTGCTGATCACCGAATTTCCTGAACTGCAAACTACACAAATTCTCCAACTCCCAAACAGGAAACACACGAACACTGGAAACAGCCGAACAGGAAAAGCATACAATCAGCTTACACTCCTGGCAATCGGCATACAATCCAATTTCCCCAATAACGAGACGACACTTCGTTTTGAGGTCAAGCAGAACTGACTGTACTGGCCACCCAGTAACTCCACAGTATGTCCCCAGATGGTTCTTAAATGGCCAGCAGCAGCATAATAAAATCAAGTATGCCGGGGGGGTGGCCTGGACGAGCATGGAGCAGGACGCTTAGACACTGAGCTCCGCGTCCCCGGCCGACGACCATAAGCCATAATATCGCATTACAGCTCACCTACCGCTGCAAATGGTCCGCAATAAGAAGCAGTCAATCCCAGTGTAACAACAAGCCCAGTATGCCTGCAAAAGACAAATGGATTATACAGCCGTTCGGTATTTTTGTAAGCATTCACCATGCGAATGCTTACCTGCCTTAACAGGCCACCCTGACTGTTAATTATGGCCAATTTACCTCCCTGGTTGATGGGCATTGTATTCGAATCAACCGCACTAACGCTATGGGAACTGTAAGCTCAGCCGCCATTTCGGGACTTACACGTGTTCGCAGCCATTTTAACTCCCGAACAGCGGTGTTTGCCGATGAATGTCTGGAACTAAAATCGCACACTCAAACAGGCGAACACCGCTGAGACCTCCATACCTTCGGGAAAGTATCACCAAATCTACCGAACGACCGGGCGTTCGGTAGAAAGGATTAACAGCAGATGGGGATTTCAGCGTACCCAGGATGGTATACGGATGGCCGGCCGTTCAGGAGTTTTTACCCACGTTCTTAGACTGACTGCAGGGCCAGCATTCATGGAACTGTTTTCGGCTACTGTACCCGTGCAGTCGGTCAAAACTTCTAAGTCCTATATCTCCCGAACGGCTGAACCAAATTGAAACCCATTGTTTACGAGACATCAAGGAGGCACTGAGGGGATCAGGCCTCATGGACTGTTGGAGGGTGCTACACCCTGCCGATATAGATTACTCTTATTTCTCCTCGGTCCATAAGAGATACAGTAGGCTGGACTATATTCTCCTTGCCCAAGAATTCCTGCCCCTACTCATATCGGCGGATACACGAACGATGGGCTGGTCAGATCATGCACCGTTTCAACTCATATCAAATCCCCCCTATTCAGACCCCGAGAGCGCCACTGGAGGATGAATGAATCCATCCTGATGGAGTTGCCCATAGTAATAGACATGCGCGCCACAATTACCACCTTTTTCGAAGAAAATGATACACCTGAAACCCCACCGCTAACCACCTGGGAGGCGCATAAATGCGTCATACGAGGACATCTCATCAGGGTATGCACGCAGAGAAAACAAGAACGGAACGAACAGAAGTCTGGCTTGATCCAGAAAATCAAAGAACTAGAGGGAAAGCACAAAGCCACGCAGGAAGATGACATCTACAAAGCCCTGCTGGACGCAAGGGGGGCACTCAAGAACCTACTTTCCCAAAAATTACAACACACCATACGCAAATCTACGCGTTTTTTTCTATGAATACTCAAACAAATGTGGCAGACTGCTGGCCAGGATGCTGCAAAAACAGAGACGCATGTGCCATATCACCAAAATCAAGCCCTGAGAGGGACCGGCGACCCAACTACCAGACAAAATCGCGGAGGAATTTCATAAATACTACTCGGCCCTCTATAATCTGCCACAGGGAGACTGAGCCGCCGGGGAGCAGGAGAGGACAGCTCAGATAACAGCATACCTACAGCAACATGTCACTAAGACCCTGAGTCAGGAGGACATGGAAACCCTGGAGGCCCCAGTCACACTAGAGGAATTACAGGCAGCCTTGAAGTCAGCTAAACTGAACAAGGCTCCAGGGCCAGACGGTCTACCGGTCCGCTACATTAAGGAATTCGGGGACGTGCTTTTGCCAAGACTCCTCAGAGGTATCAACTCCATCCGGGACGGGGGTGCCTTCCCGAGGGACACCCTGACTGCAACAATAACGGTCATCCCGAAAGAGGGGAGGGACCCCACAAGCTGTGCGAGCTACAGACCAATTTCCCTCCTGAATGCCGTCCTGAAGCTCTTTACAAAAATCCTGGCCACTCGGCTCAGCGGAGTCCTCCCAGATCTGGTGGCGCCGCATCAGGTGGGTTTCATCCCCGAAAGAGAGGCGAGAGACAACACCACCAGGGCCCTGAACATCATTCACGCGCCCGGCTCAAACAACAAATTCTTCTCCTCTCTACGGATCGGAGAAGGCCTTCGGCGTGGATTGGCAGGCTCTCCGATGGGATTCGGGACGTGCGTAATGGCATGGGTGTCGTCACTATATACGGAACGCCAGGATTCGGATGCAACCCTCTCACCGGCGTTCCAGATCCGGAATGGGACGAGGCAGGGGTGCCCGCTCTCCCCCCTTCTGTTTGCCCTCTCCCTGGAACCATTCCCTCAGAACGGGGGAATATCTGGGTTTGCCCTGAAAGGAACCACCCATAAGATTGCTGCTTACGCCGATGACATGCTATTCTTCGTCAGCCTGGGCCAAACCTATTAAACAAGGACTACTGCCATATCTCGAACCTGAAATTAAATACAGAAAAGTCGGATGCTCTGCTCATTTTGGCGAGGGAGGGGGAGACCACTCACCTACGAACACAGTTCCCATTCATGTGGTGTGAGACCAAACTACTTAGGTATCTGGTTAACCGCGGACCTCACCCAGCTATATATCCACAAGGCCTACGGACTCTAAAAAGGGATACTACGGTGGTCGTGTGTCTCATGGTTTGGCAGCCATTAAGATGAACCTCCTCCCTCGATTTGCCTGCTGTAGCGGGCCTCCACGAATTCCGCTGGTTCAGGAAGTAATCCACAAACAAGAAAAAACAAGGCAATATCCCAAATCTCCCTGTAACCGGACGAAACACAGTTCTGAGAGTCAACTGAGGGCTCCACAATTTATACAAGTCCCCATGCAAGGGGTTTCCTGAGTCCCCTCCCAATTCCCAGAGGGGACTACATGGGTGTACAAGTCCCAGCAGGCACTGCTGCACGAGAGGGATCCCACAGGAATATCGTTAAGTGGGTTATCCCTCCGTGCAGCCCGACAATTTACATTAAAATCTATAACTTTTCGAATATGCAGTTCATTTAAAAGAGTGGACGTTCGGTAGATAGCTGGGGTCTGAAATTTGTGAGATTACGCTCAGATCTAAAACAACACGCCGCACGAAAAACACATTTATTAAAATACATGTTCAAAATACCGCCTTCCCAGAATACCGAACGGAGCATCCCGAACTCTCAGGGTTACGCCGTCGAGTAGCCGTTTTTAGTACCAAACACCGCTGAGGGAACAAAGGATCCAAGATGGCCGACCGCCGCATGGTCGGTATCGAACGGCGGCCACCCAGGAGAGCCTCTAATTACCGAGGTTTAACAAGTGCCACACGCCTCTAAGTGTGTGGGAGGGGTCACGAACGGCCCGGCCGTTCGTGAAACGAAAGAAAATACAGTACATACAGCTATCTGCATTCGGCAGATAGCCAATACAGTAATTCCACGTCATTACAGCCAGCATACATTGTACGGAGTTAAACACATATCCCCACAGACATACAGGCAACTCTTAAAGGTACAGTCTCTGGATATTGTCCAAGTGGCTAGGTTTGCCAACCTGCCCACGTCCTTCTTCCAACAACTGGATGCCGTCACGGTTTATCTGGCGAAACCAATCATCTCGAATCAGAAAAACACTGCTCCATAGGCCGAAGGCACAGGGAGGGGTGGGACTACCCTCGGTCCGGAATTACCAGAGGGCCACACATCTACAGCACATAGTGGAATGGCATGGTCCAGGACAACCAAGACCTGGATACACATGGAAATAGCCAAATGGAAGGGGGAAGTTATCATTGGGATACTAATCTTCCTGAGCTCATTGGAAAACAAAATTAGCTACTTGTGCCAGGAGCACACATATTCTAAACTCCCTACTGGGATTGTCTCTAAAACAAGTTGTTGAGGAGCCAACTCGTAAAGAGGCCATACTAGATTTAGTGTTAACAAATGGAAATTTGGTATCAGATATTACTGTAGGTGAAAGTTTAGAATCCAGTGATCATCAGTCAGTGTGGTTTAATATAAGAACAGTGACTGAGTCACACCACACAAAAACAAAAGTTTTAGACTTTAGAAAAACAGACTTTTCTAAATTAGAATATGGGTAGAGGAGTCATTATCAGACTGGAGCAATTTAAATGGAGTCCAAGAGAAATGGGATTATTTAAAAGTTGCACTATTGAAGGCAACAGAAAATTGCATTAGGCTTGTCAGTAAAAGCAAAAAATTCAAGAAACCACTGTGGTACTCCATAGATGTGGCCAAAATAGTTAAAAGCAAAAAGTTAGCATTTAGGAATTATAAAAAAACAGAGTGAGGAAGACAAAATGATCTATAAGATTAGGCAAAAAGAGGCTAAGCAAGTTATAAGAGCTTCCAAATCACACACAGAAGAGAAAATAGCACAGTCAGTAAAAAAGGGGGATAAAACATTTTTTAGATACACAAATGAGAAAAGAAACTCAGGGACAAATTGGACAAATACCAGCAATGTTGGACCCCATGGATACTCTATCTGTCCAGATGATAGGAAGGACATCGGGGAGAGGAGTCGGGTGTCCGGATGGGTCGGGGGTGGGTGGGGATCATCTGGGCCTGGGGGGGCGTGGGGTGTCCCGGGGCCGGGGGGAGCGCTGCTCCTCCCCCCAGTCTACCTTCCCTCACCCTAAGCACTCAGCTGGCGCCATGGGGGCAGGGTGGGGGGTGATGGGGGAGATGCATAACCATGAAGACCCACACTGGGGGGTGGAGGGGGAGCTGGAACCCTGACATTTTGAAGGAACAAGAGGGAGGACCGAGAGACCAGATAGGCTAGCCCCCAAGAAAATTAAAAGGAACAAACTCAAAAGGAATGCCCCATTGTAACACACCAAAGATGAGGAGCATACAGGTGACAAGCAACACTAGCGGAGGCAAGTATCCATAGAGTACCTGAGCACACCACGCAGGTTCTGACTGACTGAGTGGGTCGGCCCCCATGGGATCGTATATGCCTCACCGAAGCGATGAGGGCGGAGACACGCCTGGGCTGCCAGATACCCATCTAATGGGCGTAGCTGCCTCGAGCAGGCCGATATAGCCCGAGATGCCTGACGGGACGAGACGGGCCGGCCCTACCTTTCCTCACACACTGCCCCAAGCTAAGACAAAAAATTTTTAGGTACACAGACAGGCAGGCATAGACTCAGCTAACCGCATGCTGGGTTATAGAACACAACAAGTAGCAGTGCAGGGGCACACTCAGCTACCACTAGCACTAGCCTCTCGAGACCGCAACATAGCAGATGACACTAACTCCGAGTGTAGGGGACATTTAGAAAGGGCAAGCTACACGGGACTACATTAATGCCAAGGACAGTGCTCCTAACTTAGCCACTTACATAACACAACACCGCAGCACTAAATACAACCATTGTTTTGCTGAAGTTGTTTTCCATGAGACGTTACGCATACCTAATGTTTCACAGGCATGTTATACTTGTTATACATTATATGTTGCCGTATCACTGTTCGGCATCAAAAAACAAAAATAAAGATTTAAATTTTTTTTTTTTTAAATTCAAGTATGCCCACATCAGTTTCTAGAAGGGCAATACATCCCAGGGCCATAGTCGCAGGGCAGGAGGCTGGCAAACAGGCCCCTCCAAAAACCAGAGGCGAGGTTTCTTTCGCCTCACTTACCTTTTTGTGTCATTTTACCCCACTCCCTCTAGCATGTAAGCTCATTGAGCAGGGCCCTCAACCCCTCTGTTCCTGTGTGTCCAACCTGCCTGGTTACAACTACATGTCTGTTCGTCCACCCATAAAGCGCTGCTGAATTTGACGGCGCTCTATAAATATCATAATAATAATGATAACATCAAGGAAAGAGGCACAGTCTGTTTTTATATGCAGGAGATAATTTGAACCACATTTTTGCATCCTGTCCTTGCACACAAGTACAGTCACCATTCACAAACCCAGACCGTATACACTAATATGCCAATACAGTAACTCACAGGCTATAAAGCTTTCTGCATATACACACACATCCATTCACCCACTTGCTCTACTCAAAAACATTTTTAATTTGCACATTCAAATACTTTTTTGAATTCAAGTATACATGATTTGGTACAAGCAGGAGATAACATCTTTAAAAATAAATCACATCTGATTGAAATTGAAACCATATTTTTTTCCTGCTGGCTGTGTAAGTCAATGAACTTGAATGTAGTAAGCAACATTAGGTTTTCACTATCAAAGGAGACTATCAAGGCTATGTAGAATGAGTTTGATAAGTTTATGGTAATTGTTTAATTTATTGAAATATTCTTTCTCCTTTCTGTCTACTCCTCTGGGATGTAGTATTTGAAAACATTAGAAATTTAAGTATGGCACTTATAATCATAGGCGTGTGCAGGGGGTGTGCCGGGTGTGCCTGGGCACACCCTAATCCCCGCGGCACGCCTATTAAGTGAGACCGGCAGGGGAGATCTCAGGATCTCCCCTGTCGGCTCATGCAGAGCCGGCGCTATCCGAGCGCTGGCTCTGCTCTCAGCCTCCCTCCCCACCAACCTACTTGTAGGGAGGGAGGCAAGAGAGGAACAACGCGGCAACGCTCAGACCTCGCGAGAGTGAACTCTAGCCCCGCAGGCTAGAGTTCACTCTCCACTGGACCACCAGGGAAGGCATCAAGGAACAAGAATCCCCCCTCCCTACATAAAGTAAGAAGGGAGGGGGGATATTAAGTAATGTACCTCCACTCCCCACAATCACCCACACACATACAGCACCCACACACATACAGCACCCACAGACATACACAGCACCTACACACATACAGCACCCACACACATTTCTACAGACAGGTAGGAGGGGTTGCTTAAGAAGGGGGAGCTTTAGAATCGAATTGTTTTCCATTGAGAAAGGCGGTCATACCGCTGAAACGCGTGTCGGGCTTCCGATGCTTAACACACTTATGTTTTTAATATTTATCTAGCTGACTGTATTGGTAGCCGGCTTAGTGTCCTATTTGAGGGACCACTGGCCGACTGGCCTCTTTTTTCACTTTGATTGTTGGGGATGAGTGGGTCGTTCTAGTGGAGTGGTCCTCTTTTTATTTTTGGACCCCCCTTGGATAAGGTTTTCCCTCTTTATTTTCCTCTATTGATATCTTCCTGTCCTTTCGATTTACTTACTATTTACTGCTACCAGTTGGGCTATAACCTTACTGGTTTATACTATCGTTTGGCAAGCATTATTAAAACCTGTATATACGTGTGTGTATATATATATATATATATATGTAATATAGGATATCTTTGAATGAAATAGGGAATACCTATTATATGACTTGCTTGCTCTCAATACATTAGGGCATGGTATGCGGCTTCTCTGGCACTGATAGACCATTTATAGGCTATATTCCCCGGCAGTGGCTCTGCATTGGTTTTTCTACTAGCTGATACTTTGTTCCTGTTCTCACCTATGTGAGACGACTAATACTGCTGATTAGCTACATTTATAGAACTGTTGCTACTTTGTCAGGGGATTATGCCCTATTAGCTACTTCTAGCCAAATATTTACTTTTTCAGTCTCTTTTGTTTTTATTTCCCTAGTTGTTAGGGTGAGTGTGTGTTTTTGATTCTAATTTGGTCTATAAATAAAGTTTATTATTATTTTGTAAACTCTTACACTGATTATCTATCAGGGGGTAGCTGTTTTGAGGAAATCTAGCCCTTCATTAAGGGGTGATTTCTCCTCATTATTCTGTGTTTTCTATATGTCCTAGGGTTATGCCCTTTACTACCTCTGTAACCCTTTCTTTACTCCCTGTCAGAGTGCTTCTCTGACTGGAGGTATTGTGCATATATAATTTTGGTATCTATTTGCTAAACACAGGGGAATATTCCACATTATACAGGCTAAGGGTGATGGGCCTGAGGGTGATCTCCCTCAGTGATTGCCTGATGAGCATGTGAGGAATTTCAAGCCTCATTTGATGCCACAATGGCGTCTTCCCTCCAAGGGGCTCTTGCCTCTGCGATGGGAGCGATGTCGTCATCGTTTTCCCAGACGCTGGCATTGGCCCTTCTTATTGCCCCCGGGGGTTTCCCCTACCCTACTGGGTACGGCGAATGTCAAACACCTCACCTCCCACTCCTCGATGCAGGTGTCACCTGCCCTGATAGACTCGCTTGAGGCGGTCATGGATGGCGCACTACCACCGCGCAAGAGAGCCCCTGGCCGGGCAAAAATGGCCAGATTGTGGAAACGGGCTAGATCCTGTGCAGTAAGGTCAAATACAGACCGGAGAGAGGAGAATGACTCAGAGGAGGTAGATTATGCCATCCTACGATGGGGCCAGCACGGAGGAGGAAGCTCCCCCTGCCGTAGCGACCCATACTGGGCTTACTGCTCCAATTCAGGGTGCTGCCGTTCAGCGGGCGAGTGATGGCACGGCGCTTCTGGATCCTCAGGGTAACCCCATGTTCGACCCAGATGGCCTGCGTCATCTCCGCTCTGCTGAAGTGGCATATCACCCGATACTTTGCGCATAGGATGCGCACTCCCTTCTCTAGGAGGGACGCAGTAAGCTGCGAGCTGAATGCCTTAGGGCCTTGGTGCCGGGCTCGGCATGTAACGCTCCGGCAGCTGACACGCAAATGGCTCAGTTCCTTAACAAGCCGGGCTGGAAGCTGAAATAGGGCTTGGATTTTAATTGGAAAACTGCCAGGACAAAATTATGGGCACGCTGGGGCCTTTGTCCAAAGTCTAGAATTGCTTGATTCTACCAAGACAGGTGAATCGGAACTTGATTGGACGTAGCGATAGGCTGGGTCCAACAGGCTATCTGCCTGCTAAGCAACGAAAATGTGGCCATGTCGCCCAAACGCCGCAAGGCAATACTCCTTAGACTGATCCCAACTGGCTAGTATAGCCTTGTCAGAGTCAGGTCCCTTAGCTAAGGGGATGTTGTTCGGCGACAACTTTATCAGAGACCTGGGGTCATATGTTAAGATTTTCAATGCTGTAGACAAGTTCAGGCGAACATGAAAAGAGTTTTCTTCCCTTATGTTCAAGAGCGGGTGGCGGGTGGCGGGTGGCGGGCAGACGGTCTTACAACAGTTGCTTGGGTTCTCCAAGTGATACAGGGTTACCGTTTAGAACTTGTACCCATGCCTGTCCAGTATTTTGCCCCCGGGGAATTGGGCCTGTCTCAGGAACAGGAATTATTAATCTCCACAGAGATCAAGGAACTATTCGACAAGGGAGCGACCCAAGATTTGCCGTTGTATGAGCAACCTCTTCTTGGTACCAAAGGAAGGAGGCGGAGTGCGCCCAGTTATCAACCTCCGGCCTCTCAATGCTTTCCTACGGTACCAACACTTCCGGAGGGAGGGCATCCATTGCCTTCGGGACCTCCTCCTGGTGTCGGACTGGATGGTCAAACTAGACTTGTAGAGCGCCTATTTCACGGTTCCTATTGAGATTTTCTCCAATTTACTTGGAGAGGGAAGCGGTGGATGCTTACATACCTACCGTTCGGACTCTCATCGGCTCCTTGGTGTTTCACCAAAGTCAGGAAACCAGTAGTGTCATTCCTCCAAGCCTGAGGTGTTCGTCTGATTATATATTTAGACAACATCCTGCTCGTGGCTCAATCAAGAGACCAACTAAGCTTAAATATCAGCTGGACGACTGCGTTATTCCACGACTTGGGTTTTTCACGATCATTTGGGAAAAGTCTGTATTGACCCCGCTCAGTCGGTGGAATGCTCGGGGTTCCTGGTGGACTCTGCTAGTCAGCTATTGTTCCTCCCAGAAGCCAAGATGAAAGCCATCTAGAAGGAGATCAGGCGAACGCTGTGAGCAGACGACCTGTCTACCCGACATGTAGCAAGAATGATCGGTTTGCTCTCAGCTTCGATCCAGGCAATATTTCCAGGACCGCTTCATGATCGGGCCCTACAGCGGCTCAAGGGTTTCTTACCTATGTTCGGTTCCTTCCTATGAGACAAGGTTGAGGTTGGACGTCGAGTCCAGAGACAAGCTAACTAGGTGGCTGGCTCACATGGACGCCTAGAATGGAAAAGCCATCTTTGGATCAATCCCAGATGTGGTGATCGAATCGGAAGCCAGCTTACACGGCTGGGGTGCATGTTGTGGCACCGCTCCCACCGGAGGCAGATGGTCGGAATTAGTGAAGACATTGCACATCTATTGTCTGGAACTGTTAGCAAGGGTTTTTGTGATTCGCAACCTTACCCCCAGTTGAGTGGTCTACTGCGTGGTGCTCAGAATGGTCAATGTGTCCGCGGTGCGTTACATCAACCACCTTGGGGGCACGAAGTCGCGCATGTTGATACTCCTGATAGAGGATTTCTGGCAGTTTCTATCTCCACAACAACGTCTCTGTGAAGGCGGAACATACTCCAGGCCTGGATAGCTCGACGGCCGATTGTAACTCACGTTATTTGAGAGACTTCGGAGACTGGCACTTACACACTTCGGCGTTCATAGGATTGGAACAGTTGTGTGACCCATTCGAAATGGACCTCTTCGCATCTCGACTCAACGCCCAGTTGCCGAGGTTCTACAGTTGGAAACCGGATCTGGCTGCGGTGGCGACGGACGCGTTCCTTCGGGAGTGGCCAATGGCTCGAATATATGCCTTTGCCTCATTCCACCTGACAGCTAGTACGCTCTCTAAGATGACTTGACACAAATGCACAGTGGTGTTGATCACTCCCCTGTTGCGCCCATGACCGTGGTTCCCTCGGTTGCTGGAGTTGGCAATAGATTACCTGCGGTTGCTCCTGACTCTTCCGAATCTCCTGGTGGATCCGGACAGGAATTCGTACGAGTTGGTGGCACCTAATAGCATCTACTGACATGGCTCCTTTTCAGGGAACCTTGGACTATCTCGGGAGTTCTGCAATCCACTCTCAATCTTCTCGACAATGCATGGGCACCAGGCACTCGATCGACATAGCAGTCCGCCTGGCGAATTTGGTCAAGTTGGTGCATGGAACAGACTAGGGATCCCGTATCTGCCCCTCGGCATATGATTCTGATATTCTTGACTAGTAGGTTAAGTCGGGAAAGGCGTAGCGCACCATCAACCTGGATCGTTCGGCTATTTCAGCTGCACATCATGGTCTGGATGGGTCTCCTGTGGTTAGGCACCGTTTCGTGTGTCGTCGGGGATTTGCCTCACTAGACCACCTAGAGCTAGATCTGTTGCTTTTTGGGACGTAAAGTAATTCTACAGTTTTCTGTCGTCTTGTTATCCGAATCTAGATTTGATGCTGAAACAACTGTCAGCTAAGGTGGTTATGTTGTTATGCTTGATTTCATGCAAGCGGGTGTCGGATGTAGGAGCGCTCGACTGGAATGTCGTTATATCTACCTTGGAGGACATCTCCTTTAACATCTTCAGAAGGACGAAGTTGGCTTTGTCTGTTTTGTTGACTGTAATTGACATGTTTACCTTCACTCCCAATTCGGTCCGCGGAGCTATAGCCTCTAGAGCCTCAATGCTTGGTTGTCGATTGGAAGATATCTTGCGAGCGGCTGATTGGTCACGGGAATCAATTTTTCGTGATTTCTGTTGCAGGCCGATTGATCATTTTGCGTCTCAGGTGGTTTCTAAGCTTTGAACTTGCATAATAGGAGCCTCCGTGTCTTTAATAAAATTCCCAGATTTTACTATTAACATGACGTAAAGTCATGATTTTATTAAAGACACAGAGGCGAGTATTATTCCCACCCACCCACCCGATTGTGGAAGGGTGCTGGTGTCGGTGTGGTTAAGGATCGGTAAGTATTCTCCTTGGAGTTTCGTATGTTTTATTTTTATGACATTTTATGTACTGGTGAATCGCTTGCTACCGTTATGTATATTAGAATATTCCACGGTGGTAAGGAAACTAGTTATATTTAGATTTATTGCTTATATGTTATTATACACATGCTGTTTGGAGTCCAAAAGTTACCATATTTTTCTTTTCTGTCTCCTTCTTAGCCTGAATTTCTCAGGTTTCCATGTTAGTGATGCTGATAGCTACGTTAGCTGAAGTTTGGTTTCTACATACTGGTCTTCGTTATCCGCAAGAAAGAGGGGGGTTGTGGGTATCACAAGCCTATTATAGTCACTTCCTGTGTTAGGTGATTGGTTGCTTGTGTACTGTACTGTTTTTTTGTTCATTTCAGTTATTTATTCATCTCTGTCTTTGCTGCTGAGAGTAATAAAGAAAGAGATATGCATAATACTCGCCTCCGTGTCTTTAATAAAATCATGACTTCACGTCATGTTAATAATAAAATCTGGGTATTTAATCCTTAAATATGTAAATATATTTCTGAATTTGAGAGGACAAATTCCAATACCAAATATAGGAAAGATTAAATTTTTCCATCCTTCATAATTTTGGTTATTGTATTAATATTCCTAATTGTTTTTTTATTTATTTATTATTCTTTATTTTGGCGTGCTGAGTTATGTATACAGGTTTATAAAGACATGACAAAATGAGTAGAGACGACCAGAAACGTAACAAAAATATTATGACGTCACAAATACAGCACTTTTTTTTGTGTGTGTACTGCACCAGGCCTAGGTTTTAGGAAGAGTCCACTTGCGGTTACCATTGCTCCGGTCACTCCTGGTGCCTTGAACATGGTCCCGAGAGGGTTTGGGTCTTGCACCAGGGAAAGCCCCCTCACGGCCCTCATTCTGGGTATGCGGCAGCGAGTGATGGCCTTCTTGGTTTCCCGGCCATCTCCGGGGGGTCGGAGCACTTCATTCCCCTGCTGTAGGCTTGACTGTGTGGAGACTTTCTGCAGGATCAGTGCGTGTGAGGGGTGCTGTGTGTGCGAGAGAGGTGCTGTGTGTGTATGAAGGGTGTTGTGTGTGAGGGGTGCTGTATGTGTGTGAAGTGTGCAGTGTGTGTGTGAGAGGTGCTGTGTGTGAGGGTTGCTGCGTGTGTGAAGGGTTCTGTGCGTGTGAGGGGGCAGTCTGTGTGTGTGTGTGTAAAGGGGCAGTCAGTGTGTGTGAAGGGGGCAGTATGTTTGTGAAGGAGCAGTGCTTGTGTGAGAAAGACAAGATAAATGTATACCATGGGACTCTTTATTAAAGGATTCTCACCAGCGTATAGATATATATGTGTTATATAGGTTTTTTGGACACTGCTAAAATTAATAGAGTTTTTATCACAAAATAGAAAAGTAAAAGACAGAAAATAGAAATGATCTATTCCACTCTGAAGCATTTATCTAGGTTAATGGGCATATAGCTGAACAGATGTTTAATTGTGTTTTCTTTTTTTTCTCACCCAAAGAAACCAAAATTATCACGTTTAAAGGGACACTATAGGCATCCAGACCACTTCAGCTAATTGAACTGGTGTGGATGCAGTGTCCCTATTGAACTTAGTGCTGCAATGTAAAACATTGTAGTTTTATAGAAACTGCAATGTTTACACTGCAGCACTAAGACAGCCTCTAGTGGCTAAAAAAGCAAGATTTGTAAGGTGCTCCCTTTCCATGCGTCTGGTTAGCATGGCGGTCAAGCTCACCCCCACCTCCACCCTCCCCAATCAAAACGACTTTTAATCAAGATATATATTTTAAAAAAATTATCTAAATTTGGACACACACAGAATAAAATGAATTAGGAAATGGTGGCCATACATCAAGTATATACTTTATGTATGACATACTTATTTATGGCTACAGTGTCCTGATTTATTTTATTTTTGTGTATGTTCTAGATTTGAAGATTGATCCTTCTCTTTTTAATATATATCTCGATTAAAAGTCTAGTTATTTATTCTTATGCAGGATTTTTTTTATTAATTAATTATTTAGCGTGTTATGTAAATAATAAGTGTTTCTCTTATTTATTATTTTTTAATATTTTACCGTAGTAATGGACGAATGGTTGACAAGAAATCCGGCGAAAACGCCAGTCGCTGGAAAGGAAACCCAAAATGAAGGATCACACAAAAATGACAATGGAAGAAAAAATTATGAAAATCCTGTAACAAGTTTAATTAGTAAGAAAATATGATTCTGACTATTTAAAATTCGGATTCACGTGGAATGGTTACAAAGGAGATCCCCGTCCGCAGTGTGTGATTTGTGGTGAAATTCTCGCAAATGAAAGTATGGAATCAAACAAATGACTTTGACATATTGAGACAAAAAGGGTACATTTGAAAAAACAGCCTCTTCATTTTTTAAAAAGCAAGCTAAAAAAAACGAATACATAAAATATATATGCTTTCGCATTTCACCAGTATGAAAAAGCTATTCATGCCTCATTAGTTTGCAAAATCTGGTAAGCCTCACAACATTGGCAAGTCATTAGTACTCCAAGCGATAAAAAATGCTGTTGGAGTTATGTTTGGTGACAAGAACTTGAAAGAAGTTGAATAATTCCATTTTACAATTAAACGCAAAACTGATTAAATTTCAGAGTGGGTAGTAGACAGGGCGTACCAAGCGTTTGGTGAAACCGGCCCTAGCGAAGGACCATGCAAAAAGCGGAAGAACCACTCAGCCACATCACTGTTATTAAATTATTTTAAAATGAAGCGCGCTTAAAAGCGCACGCAGGACTGTGCCACTGTCGGCACAGACCTTCTTCTGCTCCTGCACACTGTTTCCCGCACAAGTGGAGAGCAGGAATAATATCTCCACCTCCAGCTTTCTGCATGTGTTAGTTGGCGAGGAGCGGCTGAGCAGTGAACACTCAACCCAGGTAAGTTCAAATTACTTACTTTACCAGGCTGGCTGTCTCTGGCTGGGGGTACTGGGCTGTCATGGATATAAGATGCATATAAGGAAAGAAGTGAGAGAGGAGAAGAGATGAAGATGGAAAGTAAGAGCAAAAAAGTAATGAGAGGGAAAAGAAAGAAGTGAGAGGAAAAAGTAGTGTGAGGGGAGAGAAAAGAGAGTAATTGAAGAAGTAGAGTAAAAAGGAGAAGAAGTAGTAGAGAAGAGAGAAAATATGAGAGAAAAAAGAGAGAAAGGGAGAAAAGAGAATGATGTATAGAGGAAAGGGAAAGAGAAAGGAGAAGTAGTAGGAAAAGTATTAAAGAAAGAAGTGATGAGGAAAGAAAGAGAAGTGATGAGGGGGAAAGGAGAAGTGATGAGAGAGGAGGAGTTTTAAATTATATACAATTCTATCAGTTGTTTTATGAAAATATATACAAACTAGATCAGGGGTAGGCAACCTACAGCACTAGTGCCATGCATGGCACTCGAGGTGTCTTTGTACGGCACTCAAGGCTGCTAGAGCCAAACTTACTCTGGCCTATCAGGAGTCCCAGTAAAACTTCAGATATTTGCTAATACGAAGAGGTGGTGAAGGACAATCCTCAATTTATGCATTGCAGCACATAGAGGAACTGATCTCAGATCACTGCCTCCCAGCACTTGTGAATGGGAATCCACACTTTATTAGAGCAGCCCTCGACAGCTATCACAGCTCCTGTCCTGTACCTGTACCTGGCCAGCCTGGTCCCCACTGGAACCCAGGGAAGCCACCCACACTGCTAGATATACACCAAAATGCAGAATAAGCCTCCCCTCATACAAATAACACAAACAGCCCACAAACAAACATACACACAATCTGCACAAACGTAACCCGCTAACAATCCATATACATGCACACAATCTCACATGCAATACCCCAAATAGCCCCCACACATACACACACTACCAAACACACAATGTGACATATCCATCCACACAATTCCACAAGCAGCCCCCATACACAGCACACATTCATAGGTATCATACACAACACCACAAACTACTTGTAAACATATACAATATAATAGCTCATATATGCACAAATACAACGATACCAAGCAATTACAGTAAAAATAACACAAGCAGAATACGGCAGCATACAGACTTCAATTTAAAAAAATAGGACCGGCATGCTACGGGACATCACAATCCTATATCGGCACAGTGCTGCTAAAAGGTTGCCTACCCCTGAACTAGATCTTTCTTTTATCCTTGACTATCTCTGTTTTTGGCTGACATTAAAATGGAAAAACTTGGATTTTGGCGCATGATGATAAAATTTAATGTATTCCAAATTAATCCTAAACTGTATCATGATTTATGTTTCATGTAGAGCCACGTGGCATCTCAGTAGATGAATTGTGTCAATCTGAGCCAAAAGGTTATATATGATAAGCATCATGTTATTTATTGGTATGGCAAGATACTGGTTAAGTTGGAATGGGATAACTGAATGTTATGTTAAATATCTTCATAATGATGCTTAGCATAAGTACATTCTTATGGTTTTAATGGGACACTGTAGTCACCAGAACAACTACAGCTTATTGAATTTGTTCTGGTGAGTAGAATCATTACCTTCAGGCTTTTTGCTGTAATAACTTCACTGGACACTCCTCAGATAGCTGTTAGAGATCCTTCCTGGGTCATGGCTGCCTAAAATGCATCCAAACATTCAGTGTCTCCTCCCTCTGCATGCAGACACTGAACTTTCCTCATAGAGATTAATTGATTCAATTCATCTCTATGAGGAGATGCTGATTGGCCAGGGCTGTGTTTGAATTGTGCTGGCTCTGCCCCTGATCTGCCTCCTTGTCAGTCTCAGCCAATCCTATGGGGAAGCATTGTGATTGGACCAGGCTACCACTTCTGATGATGTCAGCAGACTGCTTGTTTTTCTGAGACAAACAGCATGCATAGTTACAGCTTCAGGCTTGAATACAGTAAGATTTTTTTTCTATATTTATGGAGGCATGAGGGGTTCAGGGGAGGGGGGGGCTAGATGGTGGTTTTAACACTATAGGGTCAGGAATACATGTTTGTGTTCCTGACCCTGTAGTGTTCCTTTAACTCTGGTGTGGTTTTGTATGTTTAGAGACATTATTTCACACTGAGATTCTATAAAGGAACAAAAATATTGACATAAATAAAATAGAGGAATATGATAAGCTACTGACAGTGGATTTTTTCCCCTAATTATATCTGGAGAGGTTAATGTAGGTATCCACGTCAGAAATGAGCTCATTGTAGTGATGAAACACATCTCTCAAAACGGAGAGCAGTGTTCATTTATTCACATGGGTTCTTGTGAATAAAATAGGTACTCTCTTTCAACCCATTACAGCTTAACCAAACTGGTCAATCAAAGTTCAAATAAACTGTAATTCCCTTGGAAATTATAACCTTAAATGGAACATTGAAAATCACCAATAAATTGTGTTAATCTTTTTTCATGAGATGCTGTTTTCTTTTAAAAATATATTAAAGGGACACTATAGTCACCTGAGCAACTTTAGCTTAATGAAGCAGTTTAGAACATGCCCCTGCAGCCTCACTGCTCAATCCTCTGCCATTTAGGAGTCAAATCCCTTTGTTTATGAACCATAGTCACACCTCCCTGCATGTGACTTGCACAGCTTCCATAAACACTTCCTGTAAAGAGAGCCCTAGTTAGGCTTTCTTTATTGCAAGTTCTGTTTAATTAAGATTTTCTTATCCCCTGCTATGTTAATAGCTTGCTAGACCCTGCAAGAGCCTCCTGTATGTGATTAAAATTCAATTTAGAGATTGAGATACAATTATTTAAGGTAAATTTCATCTGTTTGAAAGTGAAACCAGTTTTTTTTTCATGCAGGCTCTGTCAATCATAGCCAGGGGAGGTGTGGCTAGGGCTGCATAAACAGAAACAAAGTGATTTAACTCCTAAATGACAGTGAATTGAGCAGTGAAATTGCAGGGGAATGATCTATACACTAAAACTGCTTTATTTAGCTTTATTTAGCTAAAGTAATTTAGGTGACTATAGTGTTCCTTTAAATATTTGGTGAGAAAACATCATAATACAATCCAGACACGGCCAGGGCAAAACATTGCAAATGAAGAGTAGAGATTAAAAACATTATGTATGAAAAGTGGTGCAAACATGGAAAGGGGGGATGGCGGAGTCTAACTGCGGAGCGGAGAAGACACATGGTGCTGAAGCTCCAGCGATATAACCTTATTTTCGTCTATACCAGACCGATAAAACCACCTAAAACTACTGCAAGTGCCGGTGAGGGGCTCCAGAACCGACATGGGTCAGAAATCTAAAAAAAACAAAACCCGACCAGCCGAGGCAGAACCACGATATCGGGGCCATGTGGAGACAAGCCCACGAAGTTCCAGGGCCAAAAATGTCCGACTACACAGAAACGTACTCCGACTTCTCTGACGATTTCTCCCTGGGAGAGGACACACCCGTTACACCGAACTTACCTGCGGCTGCAACCAAGCCCCTGGACCCCGACGGCGCACCAGTCACAACGTCGGTGCTCAAGGCTCTGCTGGCAGGCCTCCAGACTACACTACAGGCGGATATGGCCGCCCTCCGCACGGAACTTCAGGGCATCATTGGTAGGCTGGGGGCCCTGGAGGACACCTCCACTACGCAAGATGCGCGCATCACCGCTATGCAAGCGGAGGTCAAGGACTTACAGCACAAGAATGCAGAATTTGAATGGCAGTTTGCCGCTGTGAAGGACGATCGCCGAGCAGCCAACATAAAAGGTACGGGGGCTACCAGATGACATGCTAGCTGAGGAACTATCTCCTGACAGAACTGCTCACACCGAAAGTGGCCAAAGCCATCCACATTGAAAACTTATTCAGGATTCCAAAACCAGCCAGAGCCCCAGCGACGGCCTCCCGCGACCTTGTAGTCCGCTTCCACCAAAGAAAAGACAAGACCGCAACCCTAGCAGCAGTCAAAGAACGATCTCAATCCACATTCGAAGGACACTCCCTATCAATTTTTGCAGACTTAACAGGCGTCACTTTGGCCTGGAGGGGGTCGTTAAAACCCTTCGCCACACTACTCAGGCAACAAGACATACAATATAGATGGCGCCTCAGCCGCTCACTTCTCGTCCTGAAAAGTGAGGTCAAACACGTGGTATACAATATACAAGGAGCACAAGACTTGCTACACACCTTGGGCCTACCCAAGGAGGTCATGCGCGGCACAGCACCCCAGGCAAACGCAGGCCAGCAACAGAGATGGGACCTGGAGCTAGCGACCCAGGCAGGGCCTTTCGGAGGCGACCGGCACCTGAAGATTCCCAGAGACCTGTCAGGACTGTATACCAGTTACAAAATAGCTACAGCTCCTTGACACCTCAGTTCAGTTTACTTATTAGTTGAAATTCACATTGTTTGTTCATGCATGCTATACTTTAATTGGTCGACTGTTCGCACTGACAAATCTCCGCTCCCACCATATTTAGCAATCACACTTTGACATTTTTAGAACTCCTACCCCCCCAACCCCTGCCGGCTCTAGGAGCCCACGGGGAGGCAGCTGAGGGACGAGCAACAACCCACGCACAGCAGCCAGGTACAAGCTAGGTCCAACAAACAACTGACTACACAGCGCAGAAGCACACAATATGTACCCTAACCACTGATCCTTAGTACACAGAGCGCTGACACTATAACCCAGCTCCCTCCATTGCCCCAACGCTAGCTTTAAAGACACACAGACTAACCCACAATGCGGAGTTAACAACGAACCAGACGCATATCATGCTATCAGAGTTTTATCTACGGCCCACTATCTGCCTTTAGGAACATACAATGTCCTTCACACTATGTACAGACTTAGAATGCACGTTTGTTGACACATCTGATGAGCATGTTACTTTTCACCAAAAACAAAAATGTGCATGTTGTTTGAATGCTATACCTTCGTTCTGTTTAGTTTGAAACAGTTAAGTTTGCTGCGCTATTGTGGCACCGCAAGCTCATTGTATCAATTCTTTGCACGAAAAAAAAGAAGAATAAAAAAAAAAAAAAAAAAGATACAGAATGGAAGGTAGAAAAACTATAATTTCCTTTATTGTTTTTCTGTGTGTGAATTGTTTTCCTCTGAAAATAAAACAATTTGATTGTCAACAAACATGGAAAAGGGGTGGAGTCACCAATGCAATGTGCCTGCTGGTTCCAGTGGTTTCCATGGTGACTGCCACACTTATAGTACTTAAGACCACTTTTCATAGCACGATACTTTTCATACATAGCCCCCAATGTTACATTTCTCCTTGTTTCTACAACTGGCAGTCTGCGTAGAGAAAGCTTACAATAGAAAAGGCATTAGCAAAGATTAAGAGGGATCTAACATCAGGCACACAGTTGCACGATAAAGAGATGTGGATTTCTACATTTCATTAAATTGTTCATACTTTACAAATAAATATTGTACACGTGATAAAAAAACTATTTTTTTGTAGTTCAATCTATGCATGGGTGCATGAGTGTACTCTGGAGGTCTTGCAGAAAACTACCTGGAGTGTTTTCTTGCAATAACCATCAGGCTCTCCTAAATCACACACAAATGTGTGTAAAAATTTAAATTGAGAAATTACCACCACACACTTTCTCCAATTGTTTGGGCTAAAACTAAACAAAGGCATCTAAACACTCCATATACAATACCTTGGGGTGACAACTTTTCAAATATATGCATGTTCATGGCAAGAAAATAAATTGGGATATGTAAAAAGCCCCCCTAAAAGAAGATAGGCAAAGAAGATCTGTCAAATTTTAAAAACACATGTCAGAAGTGCACCCAGGGGCGTACCGTTGGGTTGATGAAACTGAAATCAAGTGTCAGAGTGACAGATGATTTTTGAACCCCCCCGCACACACAATACTCACTAGGAGGGGACATGGGAAGAGAGAGTGATGGGGAGAGAGTGATGGGGGAGAGTGAGACATGGGAGAGGACATGGGGAGAGAGAGTGAGTTTAGTTTTTTTTAAAAACACCTGACCGGTGTATAGTCGCCATATGGGCAGTCGGACTCCAGGACAACCCTCCCACATACCCAACCCAATAACTCACTGACACAAAGGTATATGGGAAAATTTGTCCACAGCTTTATTTAACCAATCTTGAATAATAATAATTTATTAAGCAATAATAATTTTAACAATAAACATGGGTCATTGCCCCCATACTCCGCCCTCGTAACCGAATCCTTCTGTTAATATAACAGGCAATGACCCCCATATAAATAACATATATACATATACATATAACATATAACATACGTATCAACATATTCCAACATACCAACTTAAGTGCCAAACATAAATTAACCATGGCAGGGGTATACCCGGATACCCCTGCCCCACCAGATTCTGAGCCACCGACAGGACTCGGAACCTACCAACCACCAATGACCACAGTTTTACGTCTCCATGACGTTCATCCTAGGGAGCCTATTTCTTCTCCTTCAGCTCCCTATCCCGCCGCTGTGAAAAAAACGGGATAACCCAAGTCCGAACCAAATTCAGGGAGGGTGGGCGGGACAAACTCAGCAAGGTAGTAATTAAAAGTGAAGGCTTTAAAATGGCTGCCTATTTAAATAGCCAAGCCTACTTACCCATAACTCCCTACTTCCTTCCCTCCTCCTATGCCTGCCTCCTAACCCCTGTCAAGGCCTTTTTTCGCTTAGCTGCGCTTTGGCTACATGGGGCTACATGACCGGTGTATAGTCGCCATATGGGCAGTCGGACTCCAGGACAACCCTCCCACATACCCAACCCAATAACTCACTGACACAAAGGTATATGGGAAAATTTGTCCACAGCTTTATTTAACCAATCTTGAATAATAATAATTTATTAAGCAATAATAATTTTAACAATAAACATGGGTCATTGCCCCCATACTCCGCCCTCGTAACCGAATCCTTCTGTTAATATAACAGGCAATGACCCCCATATAAATAACATATATACATATACATATAACATATAACATACGTATCAACATATTCCAACATACCAACTTAAAGTGCCAAACATAAATTAACCATGGCAGGGGTATACCCGGATACCCCTGCCCCACCAGATTCTGAGCCACCGACAGGACTCGGAACCTACCAACCACCAATGACCACAGTTTTACGTCTCCATGACGTTCATCCTAGGGAGCCTATTTCTTCTCCTTCAGCTCCCTATCCCGCCACAAGCTCAGACCTTGACTCCTTAAGCTGTCTGAGCTCCGCCACCCCGAAGAAAAAGAGCCTTAGTTATGCCCTCCTGCCAGCCCAGGGTCAACAGATCCCAACCCACTGCCGAGAGATGAACTCCGTCCGAGCGGTAGTACCCCGGCAAACCACCTTCCAACTCGCTGTGTCGAACTACCACACCCCCTAGCTTCCGCACGAAGCTTGCCATCAAGCTATTCACTTTCTTCCTACATCTGTCAATAGCCTCCGGGTCCCTAGCATGCCGCCACCGCTTCCTAGGGATAATCTCCGACCAGACCAACATCACCCCCGGAAGTAGGTCCCTTAAACCGTTAAGGTCCTGCTTCATCCACTTCACTAGCCGCCGCTGCGGAGTGAGGCCCAAGTCGTTGCCCCCCGCATGGAGCACCAGCAGGTCCGGCCGTTGCCCGCCTGCTACCATCCGGAACACCCTTTCGCAGACCTCCCCCCAACAAAAACCCCTGTACCCGAACCACTGTACTGCCAACTGGTCCCGATGAAAGCCCAGCTGGTGGCCCTGAGCTCGAGCTGCAGCCCTCCTTTCGGCCCAGAAGACAAATGAATGGCCCACGATCCATGCGACACGGCCTGGGGGAGAGAAGGAAAACAGATCATAACAGCCCCTTATGCACCCAGCCCCCGGGGATCCCCCCAAAGGCCCTTCCCCATCTTACTCCAATAAACCCAAACGCACATATGAACGGAACCGTACCGACTCCCATCTCCCAATCCGTTTCACTATGTCATCCCCCAGACCCAACCGAGCTGCCTCCGTAGCCGCCCCAATACGAAAGGAGTGTGTACCAAAAGTATCCACCCTCAGTCCTAGCTTTCCCAGTCCAGACCGAAAAACCTTGGTGAACTGGAACCGGGAGAGGGAAGACCCGTCCGCGTGTACCAGCAGCGATCCTCCAACCCCCGGCCTCCGTGCCATGTACCCCGCCACCGCGGCCACTGGGCACAAAGCGGAGCCCGGCAGGGCCCGCAGCGTCACATCTCGGCCCTTGCCTAACATGTCCGTCTTGGATCTTGCCAGGTGTACAACCACCTTCCCTTCCAGCACTCGGACCCCCGACACCTGTACCCCTCCTGCCGCAGTCCTCGTGGCACTGACCAACTCCCCTACCCGAAAGGCTCCAAAGAAGGCCAACAGAAACGCCGCCTGAAACAACGATGCTTCGAACCTGTCGAAACATATAGCAGGCAATAAACCGACCAGGTCACTCAACACTCGCACCGATACTGGGCGCCGAGTGTCAGGCCGTCTGCGGCCCCGCCGGTACCCCTTCAGTGCCTGCCTTATGACAAAGGACTTAGTAAGGTCCTCTTCCCCATGTAGCTTGAACCAGAAAGCCATCGCCGCCATGGACCTGTCAACCACCGCCGGGGATGCCCCCTTCGCCAGAAATTGACAGGTGTACCAGAGGAACGCATCCTTGAGCGATTCCCCCGCCGGCAGGCGGTCCAACCCTCCCCATGACCTTTCCCAGGAGTCCCAGACCTTACTGTAAGCGGCCCATGTGGCCGGCGCCAGCGAAGCCTTCACCAGTCCCCCAAGCAGGTCGCCCCGAGCCGCCAAATCTCGTCTGGGCAAGCCTGCCCCACTTCTTGGGCTTCCGGCGCCACCGTCCGGAATCGTGACCACTGAAAACGAGACAGGGCGTCAGCTACATCATTCATGAACCCAGGCACATGGCGTGCACGAAAAACAACATTTAGCGACATGCACAACAGAACAAAATGACGTAGCAACCTAACCACGGGTTTCGATGCCGCTGATTGGTTATTCACAGCGTGCACCACGGCCATATTGTCCGAGAAAAAGACCACCTTCCGGTCCCGCAGCCTATCCCCCCACAGGGCCAACGCTACGACCAGCGGGAACAGCTCCAAGAAAGCCAAGTTCCGCATGAGGGGGCTCAGTCGCCACTCCCTCGGCCATCGCTCCGCACACCAACGTCCCCCAAAATAAGCCCCGAAGCCCACGCTACCAGACGCGTCTGTGAACAGCTCCAGTTCCGCAGCCGACACGCCCTCCTGTCTAAAAATCACCGTCCCATTGAACTCCCGCAAAAAGGTCTCCCATACGGCCAAGTCGGCCCTCATGGCCGACGACACCCGAATGAAGTGACGCGGGGATCGCACCCCTGCCGTCGCTGCCGACAGGCTCCGGCTGAACACCCTACCCATTGGGATCACCCGGCATGCAAAATTCAGCATCCCGATCAACGACTGCAGCTGCCGCAATGTAACCTTACGGGCTTGAGCCGCCGTCGTCACCTCCTCCTTCAGCCGCCGCAACTTCTCCAACGGCAGCCGACACTCCCCTTGCAACGTATCTATCTCCAACCCCAGAAAACTAAGGCACTGAGCCGGCCCTTCTGTCTTGTCCGCCGCCAGCGGGACCCCGAAATGGCCAGCCACCCACTCGACCGTTCTCAGCAAGTGTAGGCAGGCGGGGGAGCCCGCCGGTCCTACGCAGAGAAAATCGTCCAGGTAGTGTACCACAGCCCCACTCCCCGCCTCAACTTTGACCACCCATTCAAGAAAAGTACTAAACTTCTCAAAGTAGGCGCAGGAGATAGCACAACCCATTGGAAGGCACAAATCCACAAAGTACCCCCCGTCGAAGAAACACCCCAGCAAGTGATGACACGCTGGGTGGACCGGAAGCAGCCGAAACGCTGCTTCAATATCCACCTTAGCCAACAGTGCTCCGCGCCCGGCCTTCCTTACCAGCTCAACCGCCCTGTCGAATGATGCGTATGAGACCGAGCACAAGTCCTTGTCAATATCATCATTCACCGACTCTCCTTCCGGGTAGGAGAGGTGGTGAATGAGCCTGAATTTGCCCGGTTCCTTCTTGGGAACCACCCCGAGCGGGGAAACCCGCAGACCCTCCAATGGAGGAGCCGGGAACGGCCCTGCCATCCTCCCCAATTTGACTTCCTTGCCCAGTTTTTCCCGCACCACACCCGGGAACTCAGCCACCGATTTAAGGTTGCGCCGAACCCCAGTCCCCCCCCGGTTCCGGAAAGGGATAAAGAACCCCTGACCAAACCCCGCCCGGAGCGCCACGGCATCTGCCTTATTACCGTAGCGGCTTAGCCACGGCTCCATCGCGTCTAGCCTCACCGGGGTTAGGCCCCGGGGCAAGCGAAACTCCCCCTCCCCCCCCAGCCGAGGTAGGGACCCCGGTGTGCCCCGACTTCCCTTTTTTGAAGCACCGGTTGAGCCCATGCGCGCCTCCGCAGCCCGAACACTCGTGCTTAAAGCGACAGGCGTTTCCCCATTTGCACTGGCCCTCGTTAAAGAGCCAGCAGAAGCCCTTTTGCATGGCGGCCGACGAGGCGGACTGCCCCTTTGCGCCGGCCGTGGGCTGAAATGGCTGCGCTTTTTGCGCCATCATCAGCTTCATCCAGAGAGGCAGGTCCATTTGATCCCACCGCATACCCGGATTAGCCGCCAAACGCTGCCGGAATTGCTCGTCGTACCGCCACCATGCCAGTCCGCCATAGGTGCGATACGCCTCCCAAATGCCATCCAAATAACAAAACAGAGAGGAGCACAGGCCCGGCGATTTCTCGCCCAGAACACTGGCCAACACGCAAAAGGCCCTCAGCCAGTTACCGAAAGACTTGGGAATCTTACGATACCGCTTCTTCTTCTCTTCCTCCTCCTTCTTCTCATCTTTTTTATCGTCCTCTTTGAGATCAATAAAATCCTCCAAAGGGAGAAGAGAAAAGATCTCGCAGAAGTCACCCTTCCAGATTTTTTCCTTCACCTCCTGTTTGAGGTGGACCCCCAGCGGACCCGCAAACGACACATATGCGTGTTGCCTGGCCGCATCAGGAACCACCCCCCCCGTCAACTCAGCCCGCTCGCTCGTCGCCTCCGCCCCAGTAACCGTCACTGCAGTGTCCCCACCCGAACTCTGTTCCGCGGAGGGAACCTCGCTCGGGCCCGCCACCCCGGCCCCCTGAGCCCAAACCTGCCCCACACCGCCCTTTGTGGCACCCCCCGCTCCCAGTGAGTGGAGAAGTGCTTGAAGTGTATGAACCAATGCACTGGAGTGCAGAGAAGCAGAGGACTCACCGGCCAAGCCCCTCGACCCCGAAGCTCCTGGGGCTGCGTTGTGTACTGTCCCCTGACCAGGATGAGCGACATCCGTTAACGATCCTCCAACCGGGGAGCCAACCCGGTGCCCGGCCACATCAGATGCGGAGCGGCTCCGAGATCTGTAACGAGGAGAAGAAGTCCTGGGCAGAGCATACTGGTCATGAGCAGCCCCCCCGTCCCGACCTTGAGAGCGCCCGCTGGACACCAGAGCCTCCCGTCGCGCAACCACTCCTTTTCGCCCACCCAAGGCCCGATCGGCCCTGCCTCTGGGACTACGACTCCTCCCGTTTCTACCAGAGGCCCGCCCCCGTGTAACCAGCCTGGGGGCCATGACACTCTCCCCCCCTGAGCTACTAGATGAGGACCTAACACGCCGAGCCCTTCCCTTAAACCCCCCGGACCCCCGGGCCCTAACCGGTGACGGGCTGCTATCACCGGACCCCAAACCTGAACCCCCCCCAGAACTACGCCCACCTATCTGCTCACCAGCGCAGGGAAATCCCCACCCCCCACCCCGGCGGGCCCCCCGACTAGAAGCACTCCCTCCCCTCGGTACCTCCAGCCGGTCCCCAGACCCCGCACCCCTAACCTGTCCTGAACGCCCTGCGCACCTCGACCTCCTGCCCCCCCCTGATGGCAAACTTCCCCCTGCCGAACCCCCTGGCCCTTCCACCCTCCCGGCTACTGGCCCTCGCTCCAAGCTCACTACCCTGGAACTACCCTGCGCACCCTCCCCCCTAGACCTCCCTGCCCCCGCTCTAGAAGGCACCTGACCCCTCTCCACGTCCCCCCCAGGTCTCTGAACCCTGTGCCCAGTCCTCCTGCGCTGATTCGCGCCAAGGGGGTCCCGGCCGGAACCCCCTGCACTTGCCTGTTCCAGGGGCGGTCCGCGAGCTCCTTCCGCACCGGCCCCGCCAGTCCCCGCCATGGGTGTAGTAGATGCCCTCCCGGGCTGCAATCCCGCGTCCTCACCGGTTCCAGGGGGCCGCCCGATGTCTCCCGCGGCCCCCGCTCCAGGCGCAGCCCTCCCCGCACTGGGAGCTGCACCGTCCGACTCCCGGGTAGCCTCCCGCCGGCTACCGCTTCTCCGACGTCCCGGTAACGCGCCGGGAGGCGGAGCCTCAACCATGCGGCTACCGGGTCCGTTTCGGCCTGGTCCCGCCGCCGCCCGGCCGCTGGAACCGTCTCCACCGGACTCCGCGCCTGGGCTCAGCCGTCTCGGCGGCCTCCGAGCCCGCACAGGCCGACCTCCGCCGCCCTCATGATCCGCAGCACCCGCCAGGGCTGGTCCAAGTTGCGCCCGCAGCCAGTCCACGCCACGTCCTTGAGCCGCCAACCGGATCCGCTCCAACAGCTCCTCCATGTTATCCTTCGACCCTGCAGAAGGAGAGAAAAACAAAGACCCCACCAAACCAAATCTGTGGACACAGGAGTGCACACAAACTCAGCAAGGTAGTAATTAAAAGTGAAGGCTTTAAAATGGCTGCCTATTTAAATAGCCAAGCCTACTTACCCATAACTCCCTACTTCCTTCCCTCCTCCTATGCCCGCCTCCTAACCCCTGTCAAGGCCTTTTTTCGCTTAGCTGCGCTTTGGCTACATGGGGCTACATAATCTAGGCATTATTTTTTGCCTAGATTAGGTGTTTTTAAAAAAACCAAAAAAATATCTGTCTGCACTGAAGTTGCTGTTTAGTGGATAAGGTAGTGCTCTGGATTTTTTTTTTTTATTGTATAAATTGGCTCCCAGCACTAATATGGTGCAATGTCCCCTGTGTTATGCTTTTAAAAAGGTGTGATGTGCCTGTTTTAGGCTTTCAATATGGTGACAAGCATTCCACTGGCACATCACCATCATCACCAAAGTGTAAATATATATTTATGATTTAAAGCTGATAACAGATTCATTAGAGCAGTGGTTCCCAAACCAGTCCTCGTGGCCCACCAACAATCCAGGATTTATGTATTTCCCTGTTTTATTCCAATGGAGATACTAACAAAACCTGGACTGTTGGTGGGTCTTGAGTACTGGTTTGGAAAAACACTGCATTAGCGGAAACCCTGGCGTTATTGGGAAAGCATTGTATAAGAAGATTTGCGATTTCATGTGCACTAGCTGATGGAGTTCTCCTTGTAGTGGTTTCATATAGAGAGAAGGGGCTTTGGGAGGACTCTGTTCCTAAGAAACCTCAGGAACTTACAATTCCTCTTTATTCACTTTTTATTGGACACGAAGGATGAGGAAACAAAATATAATGCTAGATTTATTTCTTTAGCTTCTCTTTACATGGTGGAAAACGTTGATCTAAAAAAAATTAAGTTTTTGTTTGGTTCCTCGCCAAGGGCGCTGGAGACCCTAGGTCAGTGGCGTAAACACAACCCATGGGGCCCCGGTGCGAAAACTGATCCAACCCCCCCCCCCACCCCCCCTTACTCTATGTTTCACTGAGGGTTAATCCAGCCTCTAGTGGCTGTCTCATTGACAGCCGCTAGAGGAGCTTCCGCGATTCTCACTGTGAAAATCACAGTGAGAAGACGCTGAACGTCCATAGGAAAGCATTGAGTAATGCTTTCCTATGGGCTGTTTGAATGCGTACGCGGCTCTTGCCACGCATGTGTATTCGGAGCTGAGAGGCAGATCGGGGCGGAGAGATCCCCAGCGCCAAGGGAGTCCGGTGCTGGAGAAAGGTAAGTGCTTAAGACACACACACAGTCTCACGAACAGACGCATACACACTAGCTAACAGACACACACATTTACTGACAGACACACACTCAGTGACAGACATATATACACACTCACTGACAGACAGACACACACTCACTCACTTACAAAACACACACTCACTAACAGACGCACACAAACTAACACACTCAGTAACAGACACACACAGTAACACACTCACTGACACACTAACACTAACACACACACACTCTAACACTAACACACACTCTAACACACACACACACACACACTCTAACACACACACTAACACACACACACACGTTTAAAAAAAATAAAAATTGAATTCCCCCAGCCTCCCTACCTTTGGGAGTGCTGAGGGGATTCCCTGGGGTCCAATGGTGCTCCTGGGCTGCCGGTCCTGCGGGCGGGCTAGCTGGCTGGCGGGCGCGCGATGGAGCACTCTCCCCTGAGTGCTTCCTGTTCAGCTCCCTCGCGCTGCGTACTGATGCCGAGGCCGGAAGATGACGTCATCTTCCGGCTCCGGCATCAGTGCGGTGCGCGAGGGAGCTGAAGAGGGAGCACACAGGGGAGAGTGCTCCCTCGTGCGCCCGCCAGCCTGCCTGCCAGGTGACACCAGGGCCAGTCTCGGGGGGGCATGAGGTGGCCGGTTCCTGGGCACCCCAGGAGAAGAGGCTGGCCACTCTGGCTTACATACTCAGGGGAGAGGGCCCCCTGGTGGGCCAGGCCCGGTTGCAGCCACGACCCAGGTATGTACGCCACTGCCCTAGGTACGCCTCTGGTAGCAGATCAATTTATCAACAGAGTTAAGGCAAGTAACTTTTTTTCTCTGCAATTGGATGAGTCAACAAATATACAAGGTTTGTCCCAATTGATTGTTTTTATCCGTTTTATATGGAACAATGAGCCGCATTAAAATATATTATTTTGTGAACCAATTATTCTAGGTACTAGTGAAGACATTTTCGGAACTCTTGACACTTATGTTGAAAGGAACTGCACTGGATGAATTGTGTTGGTATATGTACCAACGGTGCACAGGCAATGTGTGGTAAAAATAGTGGTGTTGTGACACGCGTTCTTAAATGCATCGTGGGTGCACTGTAGTCTTCATAGAGAAACTCTAGTATCTAAAACATTGGTAGATGATTTGAAAAAATTGTAAACACTGCCTTGAAAATTTAAAATTTTATCAAGAGTAAACCGTCTCGTTTATTTGAAAAACTGTGCGAAGAGATGGGACATTTCCATAAATCTTTTCTTTTGCACACTGAAGTATGTTGAGGGGCAAAGTGCTAACAAGACTTGTTGAACTCCAAGAAGAAGTCGCAATGTTTATGGATGGATAAAACTATTACGCCAAATCTTTGTATGGCGAGTAGTTCATTCTGAAGCTCACTTATTTGGCAGATATATTTTTAAAAATGGGTTAATCCAGCCTCTAGTGGCTGTCTCATTGACAGCCGCTAGAGGCGCTTCCGCGCTTCTCACTGTGATTTTCACAGTGAGAAGACGCCAGCGTCCATAGGAAAGCATTGACAATGCTTTCCTATGGACTGACTGAATGCGCTCGTGGCTCTTGCCGCGCATGCGTATTCAGCCGATGACGTCAGAAGAGGGAGGAGAGTCACCAGCGCCGAGGGAGCCTGGCGCTGGAGAAAGGTGAGTGTTTAACCCCCTTCCTCCCCCTTCAGCCCGGCAGGAGTGGGACCCTGAGGGTGGGGGCACCCTCAGGCCACTATAGTGCCAGGAAAACGAGTTTGTTTTCCTGGCACTATAGTGGTCCTTTAACCCCTTCAGGACACATGACATGTGTGACATGTCATGATTCCCTTTTATTCCAGAAGTTTGGTCCTTAAGGGGTTAAACACTTCTTGGTGCGGCTAAAGTTGAAGGGCAATAAGAAAGTGCGCAGATCTCCGGAGTCCAGACGGCCACTGTCTGCGCAGGGATTTGCTGTTTGTTTTGTCCACGGTATGTGCCAACATATTTTTTTTTTTTAAACTTGTTGTTTATTGGTTTTCACAACCGATAATTATAGGGTGGGTGGGGTATGGCACAGAAAAAAGAAATAGGTGGTGGTGGGGGGGCAGTCACGTTACAATGAATCATATGTTAGCAAGGAATATACATTAACAGTTATTTACATGTATTTGCATTAGTTCAGAAGTACACAATAATCGGTTTCCTCCCTATGTATCTTGTTACAGCTAACCCGAACAAATTTCTAATTCCCAACTTGACTTGTAGTTACCCATGTCCCAGTTTTTCATAGTACCTCAAAGTACCTGCCACCCAACCGCTTGTTGCGACTAGTATTTTGTTTTGCTAGGTTGTCTGATGACTTAAGTATTGTGTGTTGGCTGTTCTCCAGGCGCGCCACTGCTCCCACATACCGCTAAGACGGCTGGTTCTAGTGTGCGCCCTGGAAAAGCTTGTTTCATAAATGGATTGGTTGTCTATGTTCTGGATGAAGGTTGGGATGCTAGGGGCCTCAGTTTTTTTCCAGAATCTTGCTATCAGTTTTTGTGCGGTTAGCAGGACATGATACATTAGTTTTCTCGCTTTTGTGGGTATTTCCTTGGGGATATCTAGTAATAGAAAGGTCTTAGGATCAAGGGGTAACTGAATGTTAGTGGTTTGTGCAATGATTTTTTGGGTATCTTCCCAGTACCTGATTAGGCGTGAGCATCTCCACCAAATGTGGAGGACCGAACCCCTCTCTTGTTTGCATCTCCAACACATCGAGGACGTGCGGGGATACAGTTTGTGTATACGTAGTGGCACCATATACCACCGATATATTGTTTTCTGGTGTTGCTCTATAAGGTGAGCAGATTTGATCAGCTTCCTAGTGGAGGATGTGATATTGGACCACTGGCTCTCTATGATGGAGGTCTGAAGGTCCAGTTCCCATTGGCTTGCTGGCGTGGAGTCAGAGAGGGGTTGGTATGGCAGGATAAGCCTATAGCATCCAGAGAGTGGTTTGAAAGTCGGGGGTAGTTTGCCTGTGATACCTGTTCGTTCCCAGATTGAGAGCTCTCCATTATTATTCATCTCCATACTGCTATCTTTGTTACTTGTGTGCAGAAAGGATTTAAGTTGAATGTATGAATATTGTGATGTGTGTGGTATGTTGTAAGTCGTAGTGAGACATTGAAAACTCATTAGTTCGCCCGATTCAAAAACCTGAGCTAGGTGTGAGATTCCCCTTTCCTTCCACGGCGTTGCATGAAAGGTTGGGATGCAGTATGTTATGGCTTCTATGGGTGTTGCCATTGAGAGGGGGTTGGCTGTCTCGAATTTCCTTCTGTGTATATCCCAAAGTTGTAGCGCCAGTTGTACTTGTAAAGGTATTAATGGTGTGTTTGGTCTGCTCCGTTTGTGCAACCATATCAGGTTATTGGTAAGAAAGGGTCTAATAGCTAGGTTTTCTAAAGTTACCCATTGTGGTCGGTTGTCCCTCACAAGGTGTGTTAGTAGGGGAGTTAGGACTGCAGCTTGGTAATAGGATTTTACGTTTGGAAATGCCATACCCCCTTGACTCACTGGTGCAGTTAATAGTTTGCAAGAGACTCTTGCACGTCTTGCTCCCCAGGTAAACTGAAGCGGCTTAGACTGTATGGTTTTAAAATAGGATTGTGGCACCTTCAGCGGGAGGTTTCTAAACACATATTGAAGTTTCGGTAATACAGACATTTTAATAGCAACAATGCGTTCTGTCCAAGTGAGGAACAATTTTCCCCAACTCCGCAATAAGGACAAGCACTCATTCCATACTCTGGTGTAGTTAGTTGGGAACATATCAGAGGCCTTTCTAGTGAACGTCAGGCCTAGGTATTTGATGTCATTTGTCCGCCATTCGAATTGGTAATCCTTGCGTAATTGTGTGAGGACTTGTGGGTCCAAGCGTAACCCTAATGCTTGTGTTTTAGAGGCATTTAAGGAATAATAGGAGAGATCTCCATATTCCTTAATAATTTGCATTATGTACGGTAGGGAGGTATCGGGTTGGGAAACATACAATAGGATATCGTCCGCAAATGCACTAATCTTGATTTGCTGGCCATGCCAATTTACGCCTTTGATATCGAGGTGAGATCTAATGGCTACTAGTAAGGGCTCTAGGGCCAGCACGTACAGCAAGGGAGACAGAGGACACCCCTGTCGGGTGCCATTTGTAATTCTAAAAGGGTCTGATTTAAATCCTGCTTGCAGTACCTGGGCCTTGGGGTGGGAACATAAGGCGAATATTTGTTGGATGAACTGTTGTGGGAATCCAAATATCAACAAGACCTGCCTTAAGAAGGACCAGCCCAGGCGGTCAAACGCTTTTTCAGCGTCTAGAGCTAAGAGTAGCCCACCCGGGCCGGATCTCCTCAGTTCCTCCATAAGTAGAGATAGTTTTCGGGTATTGTCTAGCCCCTGCCTTCCCATCACGAACCCTGTTTGATCGTCATTAATTATTGAAGGCAGGATTGTATGTGCCAACATATTTTAATAGGTTTTATTCCAAATGGCTTTTGTCTTCCCCTTTATCAGAGCATTCTGGGTCTCTGAGCTAGTTAGCCCTAGGAAATCGGTCCACGGGTACCCCGCAGCGTGAGTGGGTGAGAATGATGAAAAGCGATGTTTGCTGTATGTTGGAGTTGGACCAGTGAATGTGGCTGCCTTGGTCGGAGATAATACATAGGCTGCTTTGGTGTCACGTCAGGGACATAAAGTGTGGAACGCATCTGGGGAAAGACCAACAAGTTGATGGCCAGTTTTGTGAGGAAGGGTTAGGATTTAGTTGTTAGGCACTTTGCGCTGGAAGGGGGTTTCCTGGGTCTGTACACTAAGGACGGGGTAAATCTTGTTGACGTAGATTTTTTAAATATGGCTCTGGCGGAGGGTATAGGAAAGGCATTTTTTTGGGGGGTGGGGAAGCCCATCATGCTTTTGGGATGGGCATTGTGGCAGGAACTTGCCAAGTATTCAGGTGATTCGGGTCTGGTTTATCATTGGTGGCAATGACTGGAGGGAGGTTCCTGGTTGGGTATGGGACTGGGAACCTTAGGTAGGGGGCAGGCATTTGGATATGCCACCTCCAAATTGTTTTTTGACTGGGCACTTTTCTTAGCTTTGCAAGCTTTGGATTTTGGTCATGTGTTTTAAGTTTTAATATGTTTTGGATCATTGTCCATGTGAACACACCTATTTATAGTTACAGGTTTTTCTTTACAATGGTTTTAATAAATCGGCTGTGGCCTTTTATACCCATATTTGGTGATGTGTGTTTATTTATTACGGTAAGCTTAGCCCGAACATCAAAGGTACGGCAGTCATTAGATTTGTTCCAATGAGAGCTACATACAAATGTCTTCAAAAGCAATCAATATTGTCAATCATCTTCTGTGTGCATGAACAGTATCTGAAATATCAAATACAAACTGGACACCATTTTGCGAATACAGTCACCGGCCTTGTCATCAGGTCGATTGCCAGTAAATATATATAAAAGAAATGTAGGTTTCCGTTAATACCTGTTGTCCTTAGGGTTTACAGAAATTGGTGCATCCTTTTTCAAGTTTATTATTGTTACTTCAACCAAAAAACAGTGTTATAAGAAAAAACTGGTTTTGGTCATTCTGTGTGGAAACACACACCCACCCTTTCAAGCACCGAGGCCAATTTCTCCCGACAGCCTGATCATCCTCAGGAGATATCACTCCCCATTACTGGAGTGGAAAGAATGTCAGCAAGGATAGGCTGAGGGGAGGACATGGGCATCAAAAAGTGTGGGGGAGAGGAGTACTGCCATTGGCTGTTTTTCACCAGCATGCTGTGGTGCTGATGCCAACTATGTTACGTTATATAAAGGCAGTATAACCATATCATCTCACTGAATTGTACTATAGTGTCTAAAATCCTCTGGCACTGTCCCTCCATTCAGTGTTAAACCATTTATGAAGAGTTTAACACTAAATAAGGTCCCTGACCACCCACAGCTCAATGACCCACACTGGACGTATGACTAAGGCAGAGATTACACACTTTCTTCTAGTCATGCCAATTTATATCAGCAATGGGCGCTATGATAGGCTAAAACTGGTCAGCTGACACTCAGCCAATTACAGCTGCCCACACAGTTAGTACTTGTCCCCAGTTTAAATCACATACATAATCATTCTGGTTTAGGCATAATATTTTACAGAGGACTGACAGTGTGAAAACCATAATATGTATATGTGGATCATTGTGGCAACCTTACCAAGAGTCTCTCTTTCTGGCTAGAGCAATGGTAATTGTTCACAGTGGGTTGATAGTTGCGATTCAGATGATCATATAAAACAAAACACTTAAGTGGATAATCTGTGTTCATCTGTGAACAATTCTCCAGTTATATGCAGAGAGGGGATATTATCCACTAAAGCATTAAGGATTGAGCAATACCTAGAGATTGCTCAGAAATATGTAAGTAATATTCTTTTTTTCAACGCATGATTTTTTCTACGGAGAGCACTGAGTAACTCGACTAGCTACCTCCGCTAATTTCCTTCTTAGCCAGACTGGAACCTTGAGTGATTGTAGCTCGTATTCCCCCAGTAACTAGACGAGATATAGTTCTGGGAGTCATCTGGTTTATTCAGGCAAGACAAAGTGTCTGGGAGATAATTGAGTCAAGGAACGGTAAATCAACTATCTCTCCGTTACAGGGAACCATACAGAAAATATAATAAATTCCCTAAAAGCACCCCAGATATTTACAGGAACCCCTGATGTACTATATCCCCGGATAGCCTGGATCAGAATGCTCCAAGTTGTCCAAATATCGCTCATATCCGTTCAGTGGAAGAGAATCGCCACCAGGGTTCTGACCGGCCACGAAGTTGAACCCCAAAATAATTCCATAGAAAATGGGGCAGCGGCCAGTCAATGTTCGGGAGTTCCTGCACGAACACCAAAGAAGGCTCCCACTGGCCTTTTGGTAGCGAATGCTCCCCCTAGTCGATGGTATCTTTCTCTCTAAGAGCGCTGTCCTAGCTGGTCTGGGAGCGGAGCAGGCAGCGGTTTAGTTTCCCCGATGTTCGCGAGGTATTGTATCCAAAAAAGGGTTCCAGGCGCTCGATGACCATGTCCTGCTGCCTGTATTCAAAAATGGCTCAGACTACGTGCGTTCGGTTATGCAAAATGGCGGCCACCCATGGAAAGCACAAATTAATTAGTTCCTTTGCAGTTAACACGCCAGGGGGTGGTCGGTGTTTGGTCTGTATAAAAAAGGGAAGAGGGGACAGGGTGCAATGGCCATTCATGTTTAGCCTCCTGGAAGAGTGGAGATTCCCAGCTGCTTATATCCAGGCCATGCGCGCTCTATATACAAACCTGTGAGCCCAAACCCTGATTGCAGTGGCCACAAAGACCCCCTTCCACCTCCAGAATGGAACACGCCAGAGCTGCCCATTGTCGCCACTGCTATTCGCCATCTCCTTAGAACCGCTACTGCAGGCTATACGCCAACACCCACACATACAAGGAATACGGGTAGCAGAGAAAACCTTCAAAGTATCAGCGTACGCAGACAACATACTGCTGACTCTCACAGACCCCCTGACCTCCATAGGCCACATGACATAGAAACATAGACATAGACTGTGACGGCAGATAAGAACCATTCGGCCCATCTAGTCTGCCCAATGAGATGGACCTGTTGGTCACGTATGGAGCCCTATCGGGCTATAAAGTAAACCTCAACAAATCCATGGCACTGCCATTTCACCTCCCGGCCCAGGATAGAGCACAAATAGCTGAAAGATATCGCCTACCCATCACTGCAGACAACATACCCTACCTAGGGGTTAGACTCACGGCGCAACACGAACACCTACACAAGACTAACTACTCCCCACTGATTCGCACACTGCTGAGGGACCTGGAGCAGTGGACAGACAAACCCATCTCATGGCTAGGCAGACTCCACTTAGTCAAAATGAACATTCTCCCCAGATTACTGTTCATGTTCCAGGCCCTACCCACACCGGTTAAGAGAAGCGACCTATTCACACTCCAAAAAGCGACTGACATGTTCATTTGGCAAAAGAAACGACCCAGAATAGCTAGAAAGCTCCTATATCGACCCAAGGACAGAGGGGGACTGGGTCTGCCAAACCTGTACCTATACTACCTAGCAGCGCAGACGGCGCAAATAGCATATTGGCACTGCGTGCCTGACACCCAACGATGGGTGGAGCTTGAAACCTCACTAATGGGGCAAGACCTACCCCAGTTCTATCCATGGTTGCACAAGACACACAGAGCACTCCCCAGGATAACCTGCCCGGCAATAACAAACTCCTTAAGAATCTGGGATCAAATAGCAACTAAATACTCTTTAAGTAGGTTCCCCTCCCCAATGACCCCCGTACTCAGGAACCGATCCTTCCCACCAGGAATGACAACAGGCGACTTTAGGGGCTTGGAGAAGGCAGGTATCCAGAGATACTGCCACCTATACAAAAACGGTCAAGTAGTCACATACGATCAGCTCAGGGAACAATCCCCCCTAACAAACAGGGACTTTTTCCGCTACATACAGATACGAGATTTTGCTAGCTCCAAAGGAGTCAAGGAGACGGCCACCCTCTCCCTCACCTGGTTTGAGAACATTTGCTATCAGGAAAAACACCCCAAGGGACTTATCTCATTACTATACTCACACCTTAGCGGGGAAGCCAAAGAGTGGGGGGAGCTCCGATACACGGACCAATGGGAGGCAGACCTGAGAGAGACACTGGAGGGCTCTGACTGGCAGGACATATGGGAGGCCACAGCACAATCATCCATATGTATCACCCTCAAAGAGCAATCATTCAAAACGCTTTTCAGATGGTACATCACTCCACTAAAACAATTCCGCATGCAGATCACTCCCACTGATCTCTGTTGGCACGGGTGCGGGGAACAAGGCACATATGTGCACATGTGGTGGAAATGCCCCTCAGTACAGGCTTATTGGGTTCGAATCACCAACCTAAGCTCGAACATATTGCAGAGGCCTCTACGGTTAGACCCCTGGGCCTGCCTCCTCTCCAGGCCAACAGATGGCCTCCCACGTCCAGAGCAACAACTGTTAAACATGATTTACCTGGTGGCCCGAAGGGCACTAGCGCAGAAATGGCTCTGCCTGGAAACGCCCCACATGGCACTAGTGATAGCTAAGATAAAGGATAACTACCAAATGGACAGGTTAACCTCCCTGGTCAGGCACACCACCAAAAAATATGGCAGGACATGGGAACTATGGGAACAATACAAGGAGAATAGGGAGAGTGGACAGGGGAACCGAACACACACTCAGGGCTAAAGACCAAAGCGCACACGATGATCCTCGTCCGAGCTGTGGAAGCCGACACGCCAACTCACAGTATACCAGACCACAACGATTATAAAGTTTTGGTTAATGTATGACTTTTTAATGTTCGTTATGTTACCTTTAGCTACCAATTGTACCAATTGTATAAAAATACACCAATTGAAGTGACACGTGACCTCACAGCGAGCTCTATCAGGCAACTCATGTAGAGCTGCCCTAACAAGCCACAGGGCGTCAGATGGTCTACAGAACAAAATAGAAACGGTAATAAGCATATAACTAAACATGATGTAACATTCGTCTCTTATGTATAATTGACCCATCTGAAAACGTACTGCGGCTTCTGCGCAAGCCTACACAGCATCATAAATATGCCCCTCTTTTGTGGCTTCTGCGTAAGCCTATACAGGGTCACATAAATGCACTTCTTTTTGTGAAAAATAAAGAATTTAAAAAAAAAAAAAAAGGGAAGGGGGGTCCCCATTCAGGAGCCGAACCGGGTGGGATAACTCCCAAACATAATCAAGTTTATAACGGTCAGATAACTTTACGTTCCGACACAAGGACTATATTTTGTGTCCTGTTTTACATGATACTGCTGACTACGTTTGACTGAAAAAAATCGGAAAGTGGGTATTTAGATATTTTAGAGCCATTCAAGGCTCTGTAACATGTGAGTGCATAGACAATATACTTACATTATTATCCTGAATGGACTTACATACTAAACTATATATTGTTCCAGTAATCTGCTCTGTGTTTAATGTCTTGGTGAGGACTAATATTGAGTGTAAGAAGATATTCCATATATCCTCAGTTGAGGATTGTTCCGCCCAGGCTAAATACCTGAGATCTGGTGTGAAGTTCCACATAATGTAAGTGGCTCTTGTGGACAAATATATTAACCCAATTCATATTAATAAAATGTCTATTTACTCAGCATAACCACAATCAGCATTATTCAACCTTATACGTGATTTACCTAAAATGGACGCTAGGGAGTTTCCCTTTGACATCGACTAACACCCTCATTAACAAGATGGCGCTGGAATCTGGGTGAGACCACCAAGATACCAGTGATATCACACCAGGTGCGGAAGGGCACTAAATGAACCACTTAACACCTAACCAATTATTGATGTATTATTCCATGTTATCTCTGACAATGCATATGATGTAACTTTATAAGAGGCATGCCATCCCCTCAGAATAAACTTTCCTCAAGTTTTTCATTAACCTGTGTCTGCTGTGAATTACTTCAGGAGCGTGCACGCATCTTTTTAAATTTGGTCGGGGGCAGATACGCTAGGTAATCAATTGATTGATTGATTCCACATCACTCTCCACACATATTTCAGTCCTAACAGAGATATGCTCCACTATTGGATCTTTTTTGTTCAAATATATGTTCACCTGAAGCGCAACAATGAACCTACTGTGGACAATTACCAAAATTAGTTTAGCATAGCAGCAATTCTTTCATATCATGTGAAGTGCAGCTTTATATACCATCAATGCCTTTACCCAAAATCAAATCCCTTAGAGCCTATTAGCATCTACCATTAAGTCCTTCACATACACACTACAGAACTATACGTGCAATGAAAATGTTTCGGTGTTGCACATATTGTCTTTTTGAAATATCTCCTGAAATCAGCAGATACTTTCAATGTTGCATTTATTGGCAATTATTGAAATGTTAGCCAATCTCTTCTGGTCAACTGCGTTTATGACATCAGAATGCACAGATGACATCGTAGAGTCAATATCCTATAAGCCAATCTCAGAGCGTGTTGCTTTTTGGTACGGACAAACAACTTGTTTTAACACAGATATACTGTTCGTATACTTAAATCAAGATTATTTAAAAATATGGAATTTGAAGAAGGTGGGAAAAAGATGAAGAAGGAGAAAGATGAGAATAAAAGCAATCACCCAAAAATTAAAAAAGAAAGTCGTAGACATGCTCAGCAGAGAGGTCGGTCAAGGAACCGGAGCTATAAGAGCCGGCATGAAAGAGTGGAGGAGAGCCTAAAGAGGCACAGAAATGATAAGGAGGAAGAGGACAAAATGCGTAAAAGGAGAAATATGTCCTCAGGATTGGGTACAGAGCAGAGAGAGAGTAAAAGAAGAGAAAAACATAAAAGGGAAAATGAAGAGAAGTGTGCCCTGTTACCGTCTGATTTAACTTACAGACGGGAGCTTGGCAGAGGGTCTTTTGGAAAGGTGAGTTACAGGTTTAGCTTCTACAGAAACCTAGTGTCTGTGATTGTTGGGTTGATTTATGTGAATAATAGAAAATAATTTCTCCCCAAAAACAAAAAAAGAAGAGGCAGGGAACCAACACTACAAAAAAAGAAAAAGTGTTGTAAATACTGCAATGTGTTTTTGTTATTTTTATGGGTACAGGGAACTGGAGTACGAAAGAAAATATATAGGAATCTACTCTAATGATGTTAGTTTAGAACAGTAGATACCATTAATGTATGTACATATTACTCACATGTGATGGAGCACATTGGAATCCATAAATGCGCTATGGAATACCATTCTTGATTTTTATTTCTTTGATTAGTTAGTTCATACTGCCTATATATTAAAACAATGAAATAGGTGTTTCATAAACACATATTTTTATTAGCAAAAGCTGTCAGAAAACATACATGTGAATTAAATACTATTGTACTTAATGTAAGGGGAAAGAAAATCCAAGCAATTCCCTCTTTAACATGTAATCACAGATATGAAAATCTGACTGTAACTGAGAGACTATCAAGGTAGCTGCCATCTCCTGCTAGGCTGGGACCCAACCTGTGGATCTCCCCGCCACAGGAGGGGGACCGTACCTTTTGTTCTCCACAGCGATTCTGACACCGTGCGATGTGGCTCCGCCCCTTTTTATGATGTCACGGCTTGCCAAAATGTTGAAATCAACCGTTTTGGGGGTGTGGCTATCTATTAAGGGACCACACTATAAAAAGGGCTCATAAGCTTTGAATCATTGTCCTGTTGTGGTTCAAAGTTACTTTGTTCCATATGGTCTATTTTCTGGTTTATGATACTTGGTATTTAGACTTTGGCTCTGATTTAACTATTCTGTGTTCTCCTTTCTTTTGACTCAGCTTGTTCTTATCACTTATCCTGTTTTCTGTCTTCCTTGACCTCGGCTCATCCCTCACTATTCTCTGTCCTTGCCAACGTTAGCCCGGCCACTGTAAGGTTCGGTATAAGTTTTCATATTTGCACTCTGTGTATTGGATCCCTGTGTTGTTCCTGACAGAGACGGTTCAATTATTAATTCATAAAATCAGAAATATTGTGGACAGGAGGATGGTTTTTCAGCCCAGTTTCAGACAAATTAATGGTAACTCTTCTCCCTGCCTATAACAGGTAATGCTGGCAACACTAAAAAACAAGAGCGCAAGAGTGGCTGTGAAAGTCATCAAGAAAAGGCCAATGAAGGAACATAGGATTGTTGAAGAGAGGAATGTCCTGAAGATGGCAGGTGAATGCCCCTTCCTCTGCCCTGGATTAGCTGCCTTTCAGACACCGGTACGGCATTTTATGTCTGTAGCTCTGAAGCCCTGTCCACTAATTTGTTGAAATAAATTTGTCTGTCATCTCTGTTGTCAGCCATTTGGCCAATAATCTGTTTGAGATGTCTGCAGGGTAAGGTTCCATGTGTTTATAATGATTTTTGTTTCTGTGTCCTGAACCAGGCCCACGCGTTCTTCGTTATGCCACATGTGAGTGGAGGCAACCTGAGCGATATCCTCAAGAAGGAACACTGCCTCGATCGCCACAAAGTAAAGTAAGTAACATAGCGACATGAACAGTCCACATCCTTTATCTAGAACTAAAACCATATCCCACAATTCATAACAACCAACATACACATATCTAAGCAGACCTTATCATTATTATTGGTTCTTTTAAACTGTTTCGCCTTTCCCACCAGATTTATGTCAGCAGAAATGGTCTGTGGCATCCAATTTCTCCACAGACATGGCATTATTCATCGGTATGAGTTTCCATTTCTGTCTATTCCCTCTTTGCTCTTTTTAACTCTGTATCTGAGTGCTACTCAAAGAGCACCTTCCTTACTCTCTGTATATTTAACCTCTGCTCACTCTTCCATTGCCACTGCCATTATCTATGTATTTTAGCCCTACTTCCTCTTTCCCCTGTGTTGCTTTCACCTTTTACTTCACTCGCTGTAAACATTCAGTTCATAAACTTTTTAAATGTATTGATCTGCAATTTCAGAGACCTAAAGCCAGATAATATATTGTTTGAGAGAAATGGCCATGTTAAGATTGCCGATTTCGGAGTGGTGGCAACAAATATATTTGCAGGCGAGACTACCACGGGCGTGATTGGGTCTAGGATCTACATGGCCCCTGAGGTGAGTTTTTATCTATTTGTACAGGTGTTTTATACTTTTTACTATGACATGTAAAGCTATTTGTCTTTAAATATATATCCAATATAAATATGAGTTTTCTTTTATAAAACTTCCAGCAATTAAAAGATTGTCTGGAATCAAAATTCATTTGAAAATACATGAGAGAATGAGCTTTATATTTGATTGGATACGTTTTTCTTTTACAGGTGATTTTAAACCAGGCATACGGCCCTGCAGCCGACTGGTGGTCCTTCGGCTCGGTTAATTATGAGATGCTGAGTGGAAGGCACCCATTTTTCACCGGTCAGGAAAAAGAACTTTACAATGACTGTGTGACGACCATGGAACCCCGTTACCCACGCTCTTTTGCAGCAGTAACACATGACTTCCTATCTAAGGTGTGTATTAGTTTCACCAATTTATAATCTTTGAAGAACCATTTTATATAGAAAATAGAGAGATGTGTTTCTGGGAACATATTAAGGAAAGATGTTTAGGGATGTTGTACGAAAAGTCATAAAATGTAGTCTTATGTTCAGATGCATAGTTTAATAACAATCGGTAATCCCTCGCTTGCTAAATATTTTTTGACAGCAAAATTAGTTTAAAATGTATCAATAAATGCTATAATGGATTACGTAGTCTAAATGGTTCAATTTAATGCATTTATTACTCCAGCTCCTCACAAAAGACCCAAAAGTGCGCCTTGGGGTAAATGGTGACATCAGGGGCCATCCATTTTACAGTGGGATAGATTGGAAGAACTTGGAGGCCAAAAAAATTCCTCCTCCGTACCAGCCACGAGTGGTAAATATATACGAGTTATTGAGTTCATATTGAATTACCACTTTCTATAGAACATCTAGCCCTATCACACATTGGAACTCATAGACAACAATGGTAATTTAAGGATTGATTAGAAAAAAAAAAATTAGAAAAACTATTCAGATATGTAAGGAGCATTTGTAGAAATCCATAACAGTCTACATTAGTTTTTATATTGAAAAGATTTGTGTTTTTATGAGATGTAGTTAATAGGTTGGCAAATTTATTCATCACCTTCTTCTTACCAGAGATATTAATGAGCATTATAAATATGGCCCATTGTGTCTTATTTATATATGATCAGAATTAGTGTGGTAATCATTTCAGGCTTATGCTGAAAAAAGCGATCTATTTTTATTTAAAGGTTATATTTTCACATCTTGATTGCTATCATTGATAATTATTTAAAGTGTGTGATATGAATGTAATTTGCCATTACATGTTACTGAAATAAGATACCCTTCCATATTTTTACAGTCATATGGCGACCTAACATCTGAGTGCCGGGAGGAGTCCCTCTCATTTCTGAATGATAGTAACACATCAGAATACACAGAGAACATCCCTGGCTTATCTTTCACCAGCCACAAATGGAGGGACTAAGCTATCGAAAGAGAAAGACGATATCTCCTGCTGTATTCCATCAGAGTATCTTCTCCAGTGCATTAAAAAGATCTTCTGCTTGGCCTTACTGTTAGCCAGACCAGTAGATGTCATGACAGCAAAAACCCAGAAATTTATGAACGGGGTCACATTGGCTGCCAAACCGGACATAGAGACAAAACAGGCACACAAACATGATAGATGTGACCCAGATGATCAAAGAAAATTATCAAACTCACTGCAATAATGAGAAGTCCTTTGAGAAAGGATGGGCTCCATGGACGGACTTGGGCCGAAATACCCGCAATAGAACCACACATAATTGAGTGGCTGATGCGGCTGAGGCTGTTTACGTGTTTCTGTTACATTTTTTTCTATTGAACAAAAAAGGCAGTCAAGTGGGGCCGACCTTGTGGGAGAGACATATAGATTGCATTGTCACAGGTTATCATGCTATATCTGTTAATGGTGTTTTATATAAAAACACGGTCGCGACCATTTGTGAAATGGAAACATGTCAATGCTTCTGTTTGCTCCTGTACACCGAAAACCTCTGTATATCATGTTAGCTTGTACTGTTATTTCTGTTTAAAAATAAAGATCTCCTGATGTAGTCTATTACAGAATCTCGCTATATATTATAATTTCAAGCATTCTCTTCTGTTTCATTCCATCGAAAACAGATTCTTCTGATAGTTAATTGATTACTGATACCCCTGTGCTCTTAATAAAGAAGAAAAAAAAAAGTTTTCTCTGATTATGAAACCTGTAGACACACACTGAAAAATGAAATATTCTGATTTCTTTCAATTACACTAACTGTCTCCAATGTATAATGTACAATGTATGGGGCCCCTGTGCAGTAAAATTAAAGAGTTTCACTTATTCTACTTTAAACTTCAATAGAAGAGGTTTGTGATTATCTGTATATCCTACTCACCTGAACATGCATACATTACAAGGGTGCTGCTGGGACCAAGTAATACAACATACAGCATCCGGCGCACTCACTCATTCAATAATCTGCAATTTCAAAGCTCACACAATGCAATAGTCTACTTAATAAATAGATACATTTAAAATGGAGCAAGTATAACCCTAAAAACACAAAGATGTATTGCCAGGCCATAGAGTGGCCGGATTTAACTTATATAAATATGAGGTATAGGTTAGAGAATAGTCAGATACTAGCCTAGGTCAGGATTAGAAACATATGGATATATGAGTATAACAAAGCTAAGGTTCAGGGATACCAGAATGTGGAATAAACGATTAACCAAAGCCAAGTCAGTTATCAGGAAATACCAAGAATATAGAATCTCTTGGGTTACAAAAAACACCCTCTGCATGCAGACACTGAACTTTCCTCAAATAGATGCATTGATTCAATTCATCTCTATAAAGGAGATGCTGATTGGCCAGGGCTGTGTTTGTGATTGGCTCAGGCCACCACTTCTGATGATGCAGGCAGATCAATGACAGAGCCAGCAGCTGCAGACTTGAATACAAGTAATATTTTACTATATTTAGGGGGGGTAAGTGGGGGCAGAGGACACTCATATACATATATATATATATATATATATATACACACAATATGTATAAAGAAAGGATGCACTCTCCGGTCTTTCAAACAGTAGAAAAGTATATATAAAGTATATATAGCATGTTTGTATATACCCTAATAGATAGTCACATAGAGTTTATCATTTACTCTACACGGAACTATTCTAGACCGGTCGTTTACTGTATACACTGGTTTCCTAGCAATCATGCTCATGTCATCACGCAAATCACATGACGATCCGCAGACACTTCCGGGTTTCGATTGAGGGGAGGAGGGTGATTATCACAATTGGTGAGTACACTGCACTTTTCCTATATATAGTTTGCTTTAATGGTTACATGTTGATCTTGAGGAAGACCCGAATGGGTCGAAACGTAGGCCATATTATTGTATACCTTTTTATGGATTAAATACTTTTCTGCTGTTTGATAGACCGGAGAGTGCATCCTTTCTTTATACATATTGTATATAACTTCAGCGTGGGAGTGCACCAGGGCATCTAACTAACTACTGTGTCACCAGCAAGGGTGAGTGCCATTATACTTATATTATATATATATATATATATTTATATTTATATTTATACATACATACATATACCCACATATGACTAACTATAATTATGTTTATTTATATATAAATAGTAATGTTAAATAATATTGAATATTCAAGGATATAATATCAATGAAGAAATGTCATAATATTTACTAACGTTAGTGGAATATGTGTAATAGACATGTATAAATTACATGTGTAACATTACTAAGTGCTACACATAGCTTCACACAAGAAAACCAGATACAGAATGACAGATAACACTAAAGTAATTAATTTACTTTTTAAATATTAAGGATCTGATACAAAGTTCCATTGTAAGGAAGGGTGAAATTAAGGCTACACGTGTCAGACACTAATTTAATGACATCAAACCAGACAGTATCTCTGGTAAAAGCAAAGAAAACACTTTGAAGTTTGACAGCTTTTTGACGAATAGGTATCATAAAGATAGCCAAGATGACTTCAAATGCATCACGGAATTCAGTTAACCCATTATACAAAATAGTAAATGGACCCCCTGACAAGAATTTTCTGTGATGTAATTATGCCATCTACTGACCAAAATCTAGATGATAGTCTGTAGGGAAGACATGCCCACCTTACTCTATTGGTCACTGTCAACTAATTCTCCTTTAAAATTAATGACAAATGAGAGTAAAACACTCTCTGGGGATGGGACATCTAAGATCTGAAATCTGGAGCAGGAATAAGGACACATTTAACTTACTCCATCTCTTCCAAATAATTCTGGAACTTGTCTCTTCAACTAAAAACTTTCCGATCTCCAACAATTCTCATTCATACTTGTATACACCTTTACGGAATATCCTTAAGCTTGAAAGAAATTCTACCAAATGTCTGGTAATTATTCTGGTTTTTACTTTATTTAAATTAATAATTTTTTACTAATAGCAGGAATATATATGTGAGTAAAGGTTGGCCAGCTTTCAACTATTAGAAATCATATTGTCACAATAAATTATATTTTTATAATTAGTTTGTGATTAATGTCTGGAATAAAAATCCTCTAATAAAACAAAGTTCAGGGTCCATAAGAGCTAAAAATAGTGGGTAGCGCTTAGCTTTAAAGTAATTAAGGGAAACAGTGCCAATATATAAATTTTTGATATAATAAAAAATTATTAAATTAATTTTTGCTAATCTTTATTTAAGGAATGACTAGATAATTATTAGCTTATTTTCCCACAAAGCATTTGCCCAAAGCCTTTCCTGTTAAATGCTTAATAATATATCCCACCTTGGTGGGTGCAAGATGGAAGCTTTGCTGACACTTTTATAAGAAGGAGAGTAGAACCTTGAGCAGCCACAGGAGGGGTAGCATCAGAAAGTAGTGCTGTATGAATTAATAATGTCTGCAAGGACTGGGTCATCTGATCCATCCTATGGTCCTGTCCCTCCAACATGGCCTGAAATTATGCTAACTGCTGCTTTTTACTCGCACAATCCATATTGGCCCTCACGTAATGATGATCCACAGCAAGATACAAGGCAACAAGCCTACCAAAGACAAAGTAATGAGTGAAAGAAAGGCGTATTACCGGACCTTAGAGTGGCCGGGTTTAACACAAAGGATGAGTAAGGAAGTATTAGGACTATATAAAATAGTTTCTTCAGACCAGGTGGGAAGAAAATAAATAATAAACATTGACAAATTATAAGCAAACTTGTACAGGTACTGTAACACTGAAATAATTTAAGGTCAGGAAGAAGAAGAAATCATCATCGTCAGTATTTAGCCAGGTGTGGACACAAGAATCAGAAAAGAATGCAGCATGGTCAATAATGTACCCAGGTCAGTAACGAGGAATCAAGATCAAGAACAGTATAATGCACTTAAGGGCTCTGAATCCATAAAAAAAAGCACTGGACCATGGAAATACAAGAGTATATATAAGTCAAGGACCTTGTGTCAATTTTGTACCATTGATGCATGTGCATCGGTTGGTATAGACAGGAACTAACCGATTGAGGTATAAAAAGGCGTTAAGGTCGCAGCTCATGGTAACAGCTTAGGTTTGGAGAAGTTCAGAAGGACACAAGTGTGACCTGACGAATACAATAAAGTGCCCAGAATGACAGGCCTGGTATCAGAAATTGAAATGGATGCATCTGTATGTAATTGTGGGCTTGTTTTTTGTGGCAACATTGACACAGCTGAATTTAACTTGAATTTTGACCCAAAGGGAATTTTTGGATCAACAAACTCTTTTTGACGCAGATGCACTCAAATTAAAAACAGAGTCCGAGGACTGTGGAATTGACCCAGAAACATCACCAGACACTTTAATGGACATAGTGGCTTTTTTGTCCTTAACATTGAATGAGTGGGTGATCTCAAGCCTTCTCGAACCTCCTTTTCTTCTCGAGTACACAACATCTTCTGTTCATTGAATTGGGCCATATTGGTGATGCTTCCTCCATGACATTGCAGTTAGTATGAGTACTGTAACCATTCTACCAATTTCTTTCACTGAGGCATTATGTTTAATGTGACACTATAGCCACCAAGACAACTTAATATCACTGAAGTGGGCTCAGTTCCATGCCCCTGTCTGTTTAACCCTGCAATGTAAAACATTGCCGTTCTGCAGGGTTTAAATGCCTCAGGCGTCTGTCAAGTCGTTTTGTTACATGCTTTATTGACATGCTCTGGCATGAAATACAACAAAATGTTCAAGAGTGGGCAGCGGTGGAAGAGGTGTCAACATAGAAATCATCCATAATTCTCATAAAACACTAAAAATAAATTTTAAAAATTAATGAAAATGACCAGAAGAAAAATAAAAAATAAATAAGAAAATGTGAAATAAAGAAATGGAAATAAAATACGAGATTATTTCATAAAAATGGAAAT